CGTCCCTTTGCCTTGGTCTTTCTGCAGCTGAACCCCCTAACGAGGGCTTTCTGGCAGGAATTTCCAGGGGTATGAAAAAAAGTGAAAGTGTTAGTCGCTCAGTCGTGTCCGACTCTGCGACCCCTTAGACGGTAGCCCGCCAGGCTTCTCTGTCCATGGAATGCTCCAGGCAAGAACACTGGAGTGTTCTTCTCCATTCCCTTTTCCGGGGGATCTTCCCAACCCAGGGATTGAACCCCGCTCTCCTGCATTGCAGGCGGACTCTTTACCATCTGAGCCACCAGGGAAGCCCCGAGATAGACCCAGACAGAAGTAAATCCGCTGAAATCCAACACCCTAGAAAGCCTCGAGAGGCAGAGGCTGTCTTAAGCCTGGGTGGCACGTTGGAGTCAGAGTGGGCTTCAGAGCGTCCCTCTGTAGCTTATTCCCAGCATGACATTTTGTGTTCCCTCTCTGAGCCTGAGACTCCGTCTGTAAAATGGGTCTTTCGACAGCCCAGGCTGAGTGGAAGAGATCTGGCCACTGGATGCCTCGGGGGGGAACCTTCACTTCCTTCCTTCCTCCCCATCCCTCCCCCTCTGCCTCATCCTCTCTGTTGTGGTTCTCTCTGGCACTTGGGGGTGCTATGACTTGCAGACTCCTTTCCTGGAACAAAGGCCCTTCCTCCTCACAGGGACATGAGCTGCAGCCAGTTCTATTAGGTTCTGGGCAGAACTGCTCTTAGGAACAGGAAGTTACCCCAGGGGGTTGGCAGACCAGGCGTGCGGATGGCAGTACTGCATCCACTCGGTGCCATCCTGAAGAGAGAGAGCTCTGGGGTCCCTGTGGGGGAATGACCCTCATGGCCCACCGCCCCTGGGATCACCCCTGCCCACGCAGCACTGCCCCATTCATGAGCCCTGTTTGTGAATTGGGGGGCAGGGGTTGTTTTGTGGGTACTGCTGGAAAGGAAGATGATGTTCTGCTGGTAAGAGCCTTGGGGGTGCAGAACCAGGGGTTTGGGGCAAAGATGCAGTCACAGGTCTGCGCCCTGGCTCTGCTACCTGTGATCTGGGCCAATCTCTTAACCTCCCTGGGCCTCAGTTTCCTTGTCTGTTAGGTGGAATAGTAACAGAATCTGTCTCGTGGAGGTGGTGTTAAGAGGCGATGGGCTAACAGAGGTGAAGGGTATGTGGGGCTCAGCATGATAAAGACACTCTTCAGTTCAGTTGCTTAGTCGTGTCTGACTCTTTGCGACCCCATGGACTGCAGCACGCCAGGCTTCCCTGTCCATCACCAACTCCCTGAGTTTACTCAACATCATGTCCATCGCGTCAGAGATGCCATCCAAACACCTCATCTCTGGTGCCCCCTTCTCCTCCCGCCTTCAGTCTTTCCCAGCATCAAGGTCTTTTCCAATGAGTCGGTTCTTTGCGTCAGGTTGCTGAAGTGTTGGAGTTTCAGCTTCAGCATCAGTCCTTCCAATGAATATTCAGGACTGATTTCCTTTAGGATGGACTAGTTGGATCTCCTTGCTGTCCAAGGGACTCTCCAGAGTCTTCTCCAGTGCCACAGTTCAAAAGCATCAATTCTTCGGTGCTCAGCTTTCTTTATTTTTAATTTTTTTAATTTATGTTTTTACCTGCACTGGGTCTTCGTTGCTGCACATGGGCTTTCTCTAGTTGTGGCAAGTGGGGGCTACTCTCTGGCTGTGGTGGGCAGGCTTCTCATTGCAGTGGCTTCTCGTTGTGGGAGCAGGGGCACAGGCTCAGGCTCAGTAGATGTGGCACGTGGGCTTAGTTGCCCCTCAGCATGTCGAATCTTCCCGGACCAGGAATAGAATACGTGCCCCCTCCACTGGCAGGCAGGTTCTTAACCACTGGACCACTAGGGAATTCCTATTACTGTTATTTCTGATAAGACCAGGGCCCCTTACTTTTGGGGCCTGTGTGAGAAACAGGGTGAATTCCTGAGAGCCTGCAGACCACCTCTGGGTACAGATATTAGATGATCGCTACATGGAGACGTGGGAGATGACATTGACAAATACCTCCTAGGCTTCTGCCCAGCGTGACTTACCCACTAGGGAGTGACAGAGCCAAGCTATAAACCCAGGCCTGCTGGCCCCAGGAGGCTGGGTGAGGCAGGACGTGGGAACTAGAGATGCCTGTATTGTGGTTTCTAACCCACGTGGTCTCTGAGCACCAGTCACAAAAGGACCTGGCCTGTGGGCCGCGCCTGGTGCCTTCTGAGATAAAGACAGAACCTTCTTGCTGAAGACAGTTCTGCTCCAGCCTCCCCCCGGAGGTCTCCCTAAGGGCGGAGGACGGTGAACATGTCACCCCGAGGGGTCTAGGGGTGCAGCCCGAAGCAGCTGCAGAGCCTGCAGGAGTCTCCGGTTTTATCTTAAAATTCATGCGCATTTTACATTTCGTTCCCTCTGTATCCGGCTTATTGTCGCACACATTTCCCTCCTGAGTAACAGCACTGCCTGGGGAAGCCACTCATATTTATTGTTTATCCCGGGGCTTTTCGTACCCAGGTCCTCACTGTGTCACCCGGGGCGAGGGGGTCGGGGTGTGTGCACTCCAGTGCAGAAGCCCAGGCACAGATAGTTGGGAGGTGCTGAGATGCTGGGAGCCCATCTGGACTTGAGGAATCCTCCTTGGAGGCCCTTGTGGAGGAGGTAACCCAGAGGTCCAGGCAGAGGGAGACCTGGGCTGGGTCAGAGGCAGGGGGGATGGGGTGGGAGAGACTTCAGACGTACAGGCACACCCCGTAATACCCTCCAAGGGACTTACATCAAGAGATGATCAGAGAGTGATATCAAGAGATCCACCTCTTTATCTACACACACACATTAGGATGAAGATCATAAAATGCCATGAAAATGAAAAGTGAAAATGTCTGTCGCTCAGTCGTGTCCATCTCTTTGTGACCGTGTGGACTCTAGCCTGCCAGGCTTCTCTGTCCTTGGAATTCTCCAGGCAAGAATACTGGAGTGGGTTCCCATTCCCTCCTCCAGGGGAATCTTCCCAACCCAGGGATCAAGCCCAGGTCTACCTCATCGCAGGCAGAATCTTTACCATCTGAGCTGCCAGGGAGGCCCCAAAATGCCATGAGCGGGGGTCACAGGCAGGAGAGCATTGGGCCAGGCCATGCTGGGCGGGTGTTCTCGGCCCGAGGCTTCCTGCTTGGCTGAGGCGGGCACCACCTGCGGGTAGTGCCATGCCCCACGTGGCCTCGCTTTCTGCCATCTACTAAGAGAGGGGTGCGAGGGAGGAGCTGGGCCTGCCCTGGGGACACAGGAGGGTCGGGCGCTGGACGCCAGTGTGCACATTCTAGGGAGGCTCTTGGAGGGCAGAGCCGTGGAGGCCAGGGGTCAGGGTCAGCGGGTGATTCAGGGCTTGGTGGCCACACTTTGACAGGTGTTATAGGCACCTCGGAGCCTGGGAGGGCTGGCCTGTTGACTGCCAGAAAAAACTACAGTAGGGAGAAAGGAAGAGCAACTGTGACCAGGTCTGCAGGGCTCTGATCGTGCCAACCCCAGTTGTGAAGGGGGTGGGTTCCTTCCCGCTGCCCAGACCACCCTCTTCACGTGGGGCACGTGTGCACTCAGGAGACATGAGCAGCCAGGCTTGCCGACCCCCTGGACCAGGAGAAGCCTGTCCGCTTGTGGTTCGGCTCGTGGGGATGGCCGGGGATGACCAAGTTACTCATAGGTGGCGAGAGGCAGAGTCTGTTCAGAGAGAAAGATGGTGTCCGGGCTCAGGTTCTCCAGAAGCGGATGCTGAGACGAGGCCGTGTGGGCGAAACCATGAAGGGGTAGGGGAGCAGACAAGCAGGGGCTGTGATCTTAGACCAGCTCACCCCGCTCGGGCGTCTGCACCTCAGAGTTGTCCTGCCCGGGGGCTGGGGACTGGGGTGCACACTCGTCCCCCAGGCCACTGCTTCCTGGGGACGGGGACTCCAGCACTTTAGAGGGTGTAGACAGTGCTGCTCCAGTAGCCTGGCCAGTCCTTCCGGGTTCTGTTTGGGGTGGGTCAAGAGAGAGGTGCCCACGGGAATGCCAGGGCCGTGCCAGGTGGAAGGAGCAGCAGCCTAGTTGGGGGCACTCGTCACTTGCACGCTCTGCACCCCATCTTCCAGGGTGCCCGGGCCTGGCCCTCAAGACCGCGGTTTAGGTGCTGCAGAAATGATGGTGCGTGAGTGGAGGGCTTTCCTCCTGAGGAGGAAAAGGGGCCATACAACCTCTTCTGTGTGCCTGGGCCTGGGTCCTGCCCAGGCCATGCCTGTCTGCTGCTGGGAGTGATGCTGACATGGCCTTCAGCTCAGACCTGGGCACATGACAGGTGCTTCATCAGGGACAGCTACTGTGGCAACCGGTGGCTGGCATCCTTGCCTCTCCTCTCTGGGGGGGCCTCTGATGTGGCAGCGCAAGCCCTGGAGGTTGGGGGGTCTGCTCCCGTGTGCCACGGGCTCTGCCCCTGCCTGGAGGTTTGTACAGGACTGTGAGTGGGACCTTTGCCCTTCCCGGTGTCTGGTGCGCCAGGACCCAGCAAGGGCGGGACGGGTGGTCCTTCTTGATCTGAGACTTGCAGTCTGACTCAGGGTCTGTCTCTCCTGGCCACTAGGCTGCCAACCTGGGATTTTTTGGGGTGAGGACAGGGGGTCAGGCATGGGGGACAGTGATGTGGAAAGAACAGGCTGTGGAGTCTGGCCCGTGTGGCGTTGAATGTGGAGCCTCTCTTGCCGGCTGGGTGGCCACCTTTGGGCTTTTCCCGGCACAGAGCCTGCTTCCGCCTCTCTCCAGCGGGGCCAGTCCTAGGAGCATGGTCAGGAGAGCGTAATGGATGGAGGTGTGTCACGTGGGCTGTCGAGCCCCAGTGCTGCCACTTCCGAGCCACGTCACCATGGGCAAGTTACCCGACGGCTCGGCACCTCAGCCTGCACGTCTGTAAAAGGGGGCAAGTGAAAGTGCGCAGGCCTGTGTGTAAGAAAGCCCTCATTTTCTGTTGCAGCCCGTGCCCTCGCGAGGCTGGCATGCAGGATGGCAGGACAGCCCAGCCACATGCCCCACGGAGGGAACCCGAACAACCTCTGCCACACCCTGGGGCCCGCACACCCTCCTGACCCACAGGTAAGCCCTTCTTCATCTGCAGTGCATTGGAGAGTCTCGGAGGATCACTGATCCCTGAGGCTGCTTCATCCCGGCCACAGGAGGAAGCCCCTCGGCAGCCCCCAGACACCTTGAAGGCTTCCCGTAATGGGGGCAGAGTCACCACCTGACCATTCGGCCCTCCACCTGTCAGCCACACTCACAGATGCCCTCTGGGCTGGGACGCCAGGCGCTGGACCTGCCCCTGGGGTTTCCATGTGAACAGAAGGACTTTATTTCAGAGGGATCAGCGCTGCTTAGAAGGACAGACGGAGAGGGAGTCCTGGAGGCCTGGGCAGAGTGAGGGGCGCGGGGGAGCAGGCAGGGTGCACCTGGGGTCGGAACGTGCTCCCTGACTCTGAGCCGGGCTCCTCCTTTCTGGTCTCAGCTGTGCTCTGGCCCTGCCTGTAGCCTCTTTGTCTGGAGGCAGCAGAGTTTCAGGGCCACTGGGTCCCTTCTACCTGCCCCACCCACCCTCTGTGTCGAACCTCGGAGAGCCAGGCAATCTTTCACAGCTTTTCAGAAAGTAGCTTCTGGGATTCTGGGCTGCTCATACACCCCACACCTTTCACTTTGCACCTTTCCCTGGGGCTGGGGTGCCCTCGTCAACTCTTCCAGGCCTCAGTCCAAATGCCGCTGCCCCTGAGGAGTGTTCCTCTTCCCCTCCCTGCTCTGTGCTGTGTCCAGACCTGTGCACAGGCGCTGGGTCAGGGCCACGATCGCATGTGCTGGGACACTGCCTCCCGGGTCTGCCTCCCTTCCTAAACAGAATCTTCTGGGTGGGGCTTCACCTGCCAAGTTCGTGAGCTACAGATGTGTGGCATGCATCCACCCAGGACACGGTTGTGTGCTAACAGAGCCAGGTCAGCTTTTAGGGAGCACACTGCCTCATGGGAGAGAAAGACAAGAAAGAAAGCAGAAGAAACTGGGGGCCATGGAACTCCAACAAGGCACGTGGTCTGAACTAGGGGACCAGAGAGGCCTCCTGGAGGAAGTGGCTTGCAGAGACCTGGAGGGGGACAAAGAGCTTGGCTGGACAGATTGGCCAGTGCCAGATGCTGTTGGGTGCTGTGGGCAGCTAGGAGTAATGAAAAGTAATTGTTGAGGGTTGGCTTTTGTCCCAGGCCTATGAAACCTAAATCAGGAGGGGACACAGAGAGAGCTACCTTCCTGAGCCTTGTTAGGATTGTCACAGCTTCTAACTGCCTCGCTCTGTTGGAAGACTTCAGGTGGACTGGTATTTGACCTGCTTGGGGGCAGGGTTGCCATGTACAGTTGTACAGGTTCTACACTGCCCAAAGGTACCTGGCCAAGGAGGCAAGATGAGTCTGAAATCCTTCTCCTGTACCTGAGCTGTCATTCAGCTGTGCTTCCTGGTGTGAGACTGCATCAGCCCAAGGAAAGGGGCACCTCTATAGATTCACACAGAGGTGATGTGTGAAGTATAAACTGCATACGTGTGTGCACACAGGAGGTTCACAGACAACCATGCTGTTCATCCTCCCCATCCCAGTCACTGGCTGGGATGTAGGGGCCCATTTCCTCAGTGAAATGTGGGGAGGCAGGTCCTAGAAAGCTGGGAAGCCAGTAGACACTGCTGGTCCAGGGTCCACCAGGACACCTCCCCAATGGCTGGGGGCAGCGGGCCTCCTCGGGTAATGTAGCAATTTGTCATATTAAGTCATTCACTAACAATTGAGTCCCCCTTGATTAATCTCCCAGAATTAGCCAGTTGCATTTTGAGCAATTAGGGTTAATTACAGCCTCATTTGGCAGAGCAGAGAGGCCCGTAATTATTTCATGAACAAGGCGAGGAGGTGGTGGGCTGCGATGGCGGCACCGTCCGGGTGTCTCTTTGCACATGTTGGAGTGGGTAATGACGTAGTTAAGTGTAATTAGATACGATTACTCAGCGTTGGCAAGCGGCTGGCGGGGAAGATGCCCCCGGTTCACCAGTATCTGGCCGGGTCTGCGGAACCGGGGCACAGCCACATTGACACTGGGGCTGCTGCAGGCTGGGGCTGGAATGAAAAGAGTCAAGTGCTTTCTCTCCCCTCATCTCAGGGAGCACTGGTATTTAAACACCGTCTAGGGAGAGATCATGGCTCGAATCTTGTCTGTTTCAGGACATAGAAACACCTCAAATTGATGGCACAGGCATTTTCCTTTATGGCAGGAGGCACTGCTGTTTCCCTGAAGTCATCCTTAGAGAAAAGAGCCAGGCTGCATGATGGCAAGAATGCTCTGCTCTGGACCAGGCAGGATGTGGTTCTTCGCTCCATTCCCTCACTAGCCAGGTGACATTGAGTAAATGACCTCTCTGAGCCTCAGTTTCTTCTTCTGTAAAATGGGGCCACAAAGAGAGTGAGATGGTATGTTTTAAACACCCAACATAGTATCCAGCATTGTGGGTGTTAAGGAAATGGTATGTGATTGATCTTACTCTTATATCCTAAAAATCATTTTGGTTTTCCCAGCTCAAGAGCCCAGGGCTGGAAATATCCCCAGTGCAGAAAAAACAATTTAGTGAACATGCAAACTCTGACTTTTGTTAACCTTCTGTGTCCAACGCTAGTGGTTTGTTCATCTCAAGGAGCTTTCTAGCTCTGGGTGCTATCAGCCTAAGAAAATAAGTTTGCTGAACCGGGTAGAATTGTATGTGAAATTCATATAGACTTGGAGAAGCTGAACATGCTTGCTTTTATGGAGGTTTTGAATGAATGAATGAATGAATGGGGTTGAGAAACAGAGCTTAAAATGCCCCTTTGGTTTATGATTTTTACCAGTTTGCTTCACAGCATTTTCATCAGGAAAGAAATGCAAGGCTGAGCTGACCCACTAAGAACCATATGAATTTCCAAGAAGGAGAAAGGTGTTCTTGTCTGAGAAAGCCCCAGTTAATGTGTCTTCCATTCTGGAAAGTCTTTGCAAACCTGCTTGGGACATGCCAAGTTCAGTTATATTCGTCACTGTTCCGAGAGAGGAACGTGTGTATGTTCAGGGGATGGGGACAGCTGTCACTAGTTCTGCATGGCACCACAGTCTTCATGAAAATCTTCCTAAAGCAATAATGGTAGATAAAATTTAATGATCAAATATTAATGACCATTAAAATTGAAGAAGTGTTTGCCAAGTGTTATAAATTCAGCAAATGCTTGTCTCCTTTATGCCTTGGGTCTGCCGGGGAGCCCTACACATAAGTAGACAAAGGCCATGTAGAGGTAAGGCTCCGAGGGAGGGAGGAACTGATGCAGAGAGAGCCTGGAGAATGGGGTGGCTTGTTCTGCCCCAGGGATCAGGGTTGATAAGGAAAGCTCTAGAAAGGAGATGACATGTGGGCTGATGGTGATCAGGAGTGTGGGGAATGACAGAGAGAGACGATGTTCAGGAAGAGGAAAGAACCAAAGCTGAAGGTGCAGGATCAGTTGGGTTAGGGAAGCATTTAAATACCTGTGCTTAGTTAAGGTGATGGGCTTCCCTGGTGGCTCAAGATGGTAAAGTGTCTGCCTACAATGCGATAGACCTGGGTTCGATCCCTGCGTCGGGAAGATCCCCTGGAGAAGGAAATGGCCACCCACTCCAGTACTCTTGCCTGGAAAATCCCATGGACGGAGGAGCCTGGTAGGCTTCAGTCCATGGGGTTGCAAAGAGTCAGACACAACTGAGCGACTTCACTTTCACTTTAGGTTAGATAGCACAGCAGGTGTTTATGAAAGGCCTGGAATCCATACTGTTGTTGGTATTGAACCTGCAGCAAATGGGAAGCCCATTACAGATTTAAATTGACAAGGGGTTGGGGTTTTAGGTCCCTGGTAGCTGGTCACAGGTTAGGTGAAAATAGGAGGTCACATGATGCTTTGACCTTAAATGGGCTGGACATGAGGAGGGAATATTCCCAAGACTTCCAGGAGGGAGAAACCAACTGCCCTCAGTAACTGAACGGATGAGGGGGAGAGAGAGGCCAAGGACGTGGCCAGCCTGCTGGCGTGGGAGCTGATGCTCTTCATGGTTTGTTTCCCTTCAAGTCTTTGCTTGTTAGTTGTTGGAGCCGGTTCCAGATTCTCTCATCCGTGTGTTTAAGCTCAGCCTTCCCAGAGCTTGGTTCGTGAGGCTCGTCCTGGGGGCGCCGCCACAGCCAAGATGATGTTAGGTTTTGTCATCAGGCGTCTAGATGTTCAGGCGTCTTGCTCACCGTTCCAGTGAGCCGATGGCACAGAGCTGAGTGTAGACAGACTTCCAAGTTGAGACAGTCACCGTGGTGGCTGTACCTACATTGCAATGCCTGGCACTTACCTCATTCCATCCTGCTACCAAGCCAGAGGAGGAGATCTTATTTAAAACTCCTCTCTGCAGGGGAGGAAATCGAGATGCGTGGTAAGTTATCCGTCTTGCTATCGAGGGGAAAGCCAGCAGGGCTCCAAGTCTGGTGGCCACACAGAGCCCTTATTGCCACTTGGGCTGCAGGAAGGGAGGCTGGCTTCAGGTACGAAATTAGCCAGATCGTGAAGAGCTGAGTGGGTCTAGTCTCGTAAAGAGTCTGACAATATGGACTCTGTAAATCGTGCCCTTCTTTTCTGCCATGCAGATTTAAAACACATCGCTGTATACACATACACTGAATCCATTAGAAGTTCCCGGCACACAATGTCAGATGTCTTTAAAGGTGAAGTTCGTTTACAGGAAATGTCATTCTGATGAAGTGTGCTTTTTAAAATTGTAGAAGCGGTTGCCTTAAAATTAATGATGCATTGCAAATATCAGGGAAAAAAGACCCATCCAGTGTAAAGATGATTAAAATTCAGGTCAGAAGTCTGACTTAGTCAGGCTAAATTTTTTAATGAGATTTCAGAAAATTAATTGGGCGGATGCATTTTTATTCTTTTAACATGTAATTTTATGCTCCTGTGTTTTTTTTTTTTAAAGATTTGTCGATGGCTGAGGATTACTGTGGTTCAAACATTTTAAACTCAAATTAACGCAGGGTGAAGGGCGTTTGTGGCCTAATTTGATCTGACTTGGGGAAGAGAATTGGGTTTCACTGAGCTTTCTGGGGTGGCGGTACCCTGGGGTGGTCCAAGACACCGGGTCCCCCTGCTGTTTGTCTGGTGTTGTCCTCCTATCTCTTGGGAGAGTGCGGTCAGGGCTAGAAGTGACTCAGGATCTTGGCCATGTCCTTGACTCCTGACCCCACCAGATTCCTCCTGCTGCCCAAGGAGTTGTTCCCAGGGGCTCCTCCTCTTTGAGATCATGTGCCCTCTCAGGCTCCCTGCCACCTCCCTGTCCCTCCACCCCATCTCTTCTACCTTTGGGGGAAAACTAAGGGTCTCCCACCATGGGGAAGGGGGATGAGTAGTCAGAAATGGCCCCTGGTGCCCACAGCACAGCCTAGAAAATGGGGCAAGCCCATCATCTAGTTCTTTGTCCTTGGCAAACAGCCCTGGGTGACTGATGGAAGGACAGTCAAGTCAGAAGCTGCAGGTACATCCACCTCACCCCTTAACTGTAGCCAGAGGATGTTGGGCAAATGACCTGTCTGAGCCTCAGTTTCCTCATCTGTGAAATGGGGCTATGAAGACCTATTTAAGTGAGATGGTGTACTTTAAACACCCAGCACCATGGATGTTAAGGAAATTGGATGTCATTGATCTTAGTCTTGCATTTTAAAATTCATTTTAGTTTTTATAGCTAGAGGATCCAGAGCTAGAAATATGCTCAGCGCAGACCCTCGGTGGGATGGGAATGCAAGTGGTATTGATAACACCAGCTGTTAATTCCCTGTGTTTATTCCATGGGCCAGGCTCCCACCTGGCTGGGCGCTTGGTGGGCTGGGCACACCCTGCCTTTGTTTCTCCCCACCCCCTGGGAAGTACATGCTGCATTCTCCAGACATTCCAAACCAACAGTAATAATAACAACAAACATGATAATAACACCAAATATGCAGCATTTCCTAAATATTGGGCCCTCTTCTAAGTGTTCACTGATTAACTTATTTAACCCCCGGCAGCCCTCCGGACGGTTGTTGGACAACCCTCATCTCACTTAAATAGGTCTTCATAGCCCCATATTCACAGATGAGGAAATTGAGGCTCAGACAGGTCATTTACCCAATATCCTCTGGCTACAGTTAAGGGGTGAGGTGGATGTACCTGCAGCCTCTGACTTGACTGTCCTTCCATCAGTTACCCAGGGCTGTTTGCCAAGGACAAAGAACTAGATGATGGTTGGATAGATGATGGTTGTCCAACAGATCCCAGTTGGACAGATGAGGAAACTGAGGCCCAGAGGGCTCGCTGGGAAGTGGCAGAGTCAAGACTTGAACCCAGGCCTCCAGGTCCCAGTGTCAGCATTTCAGCAGACTGGCAGTCACCTCTCTGCCACCCTGGGCCCTGGGGTTGTGTGTATTCTCCCTAGGAGGCAGAGTGGGGTCCCCGACGTAACGGGACAGTAAGTGTTAGATGAGCCGTTTTCAGAAAGGCCGCCAGGAGGGGTGACTGTCGGCCCCACCATCGTGTGGGCTGTTCGGGGCCATCTCTGCGTTTGCCCAGCAGCTTAGAGCTCCCAGACCGTCTTCTCCTGGAGGTCCTAGGGCTGGGTTTCTAATAGCCCCCATCATGGACCGCCTCTCTCCCCTGCAGGAACTTGCCAGGGGCCCACCCAGGTGGTGGTGGGTGGCAGGGAGAGGTCTGGCCTTTGGGGGCAAAAACTCGGTTCAGCTTTTCCTTTTCTGCTCCGAGTCCCCGAGTTAAATTGGTGTCAGGACTCTGCTGGCTCAGGCAGCTGCACCCCCAGGAGCCCTGTGTCCCGTAGTGACCCCCACCTGAGTAGGGGTCCCCTCAGGGACAGAGCCCTGTCCTGACCCTGGTGAGGGTGGCAGCGGCCCCTGAGCGCCCTCACCACTGCACTGCCCCCTGGGTAACCTGCCCCCTCCTTGGAGCCTTCCTCTAATTAGGTTGGATGGGTTGTGATAGGAAATGCAAATCTGGGTCATCGCATATTCAGAAGTGCAGGGCGGTCAGTCAGGCTGGCTGGGAGGTCCCCATCCTTTGGGAGCTCCCAGCTGTGGAGCTGGACCACATGGCCTCTGGGGAATGTCCTTGAGGTGGGTGGGAAGTGCCAGGGGCTCTGGCCACTCATCACTCCACGTTGGCAGAAGCAGGACCCTTAGAGAGCACACCCTTCAGACCCTCACTGTCCCCAAGGAAACAGGTGGGGTGGAGAGACCCTGCCTCATGTCTCCGGGCAGCATGCCTGGCTTTCCGTCATTTGGGAGTTCAAGTCCCAGCTCCCATTGCCTGGCTGTGCCTCAGTGTCCTTAATCATAAAGTGGGATTGATAAGCCTTGTTTTACAAGCTGTTAGGGGACTTCAGTTGTTAAACTGTCTGATCAGGGACTTCCCTGGTGGTCCAGTGGCTAAGACTCTGAGCTCCCAGTGCAGGGGGCCCAGGTTCGATCCCTGGTCAGGGAGCTAGATCCCACATGCTACAACTAAGACCCAGAGCAGCCAAATTAAAAAAAAACAAACCTATCTGATCACCTAGGACACCAGCAGATGCAAGGTCGGTGCCTAACACACAAGAGACAGCATGGCGTTATTGTCCTGACCACGTGTGGTTCCTCCAGGGGCCGAGAGCGTTGCCTTCTTCTGGGGTGTGTGGTTTCAGCTGCGCCCACAGAAGTGACAGTGGCCGGGTCTCAGAGTCCCTTGTGCTCCCAGCTGTTTTGAGCGCATTTCATTGTGTCCTTTGACACACATGCCCTGAGCACTTGCTTGGCAGGTCAGAGCCTCAGTTCAGGGGACACAGAGGGGACTAGGGCGGAGGCCCATGGTGGGGGCACAGGTGGGGCTCAGGTGGCTGAAGCTGGAAGGCCTGACTAGTCACAGGGTCTTGACGGGAAAGCAGAGCTGGATGGTAACATGTACGGGGCGAAGGGAGTATCCCATCCTGGTTCAGATCCCGGGTGTTCCTCACGGTGGGGTCTGGAGCCTCCCCCTGAGCCTCAGTTTCCTGAAATGGAGTTGCAGTGATGTCTGCTCACAAGGTCCTGGGAAGCTACCCGCACGGTGCCTGGCACATAGTACATGCTCAGTAAATGCATGCTCGCTCTTCTTAGGTGGACACTGGGTGTGCATGTAGGTCCGTTGCTGAGACTAAAGAACTTACCTGGCAGAGACTGGCAGGTGGTGGGCAAGAGCACCATCTTCTCCTCCACCAGCCCAACCCCCTGCTCGGATCCCCAGGCAGAGTGTCTTCAAATCTCCCATCACGGGGGTAATTATGTCTGGAGACTTGAGTCAGGGTGGGCCCAGCGATTGCGAGCTGCAAAGCTGAGTTCCATCTCTCAGTCCTGGCAAGAAGGTGCCCGTTAGGCTTTCCTTGGTGCAGAGCTGGGCCTTGGCAGGTGCAGAGGTGAGCAGTAGCAGCCGCTCAGGCCCCAACCCTCCAGCTCCGACCTCCTCATTCCTGCCCCGCCCAAGCCTGTCTGTAACATGGCTGCAACCACTAAGTACTTACTGTGTGCACGGCTTAGCAATCTTGCCCAATTCTTGTAGCCACCCTACCTCCACCCTACCTCCACCCTACGGACAGGAAACCGAGGCTCAGGGTAGCTTGTGTAACCACCAAGGTTACCAGCCAGTGACCCAGGCTGACGGGCTCCACGGCCAGTCACCCGGGGGTTCCCAGGGCTCTCCAGGAGTGACCTGTCTGCTCTTGGCATTCCTGGTGGGGAGAGTTCCAGAACACAGCACAGGGGAACTCCTGACCTTCGGCTTCTCAGAGGCTCTGGCCAAACTCTGGAAGAGGCATTTCTACTTCCGAAAATACAGCGGCTTGCCCTGCTGCGGGGGTGGGGGAGAGGGGGGAGGAGGCCGGGGGGGGGCCCTCAAGGTTTCTTGCCTCACCCCTGTTCTCCTGAAGGAACTCCGCACACATTTCTGCACACCTACTGTGTGCAAGTCATCAGCAGCAACAGAGACTGTCTTCATGTCAGCACCCAGTGCGGAGGGTCCCCAGTAGGGGGTGATCCCCCACCTGCGAGTGGGCTATAGCAAAAGGGAGGGCCCACCCTGCCAGGCTGTCGTGAGGCCTCCTCTGCCCCCCCACCCCGCCCTGTGGGGGCCCAGCAGTGGCTCCCCCTCCTCTCCTCTTCCCGAGACCACCTTTGCAGGTGTGTTTTGGGAGAGGGTGGACCTGGCCACTGTGCCTCACCCGTTTGGCTCCATCCTGGGCAGGTCCTGCAGCTTAATCCTTGCCTTCAACGCTGACCCCTGGAGAGTCATCACGGTGCCGAGATTCTTCATGTTGCCATAAAGGAGACAGTTTATCCAAAGAATGGGCTCCGAATGTCAGGCTGCAGGTTTAACCTGCATGTTCCCATCTCTGCAGTGGCAATGCTACCCTGGGAGGGGAGGTTGCCACTTCGTGGGATGACTTGAAGGGTAAGGGTTGGGGGTGCGTCTGGGGAGCCCTGGGGCTGATGGGACCCCACAGGGCCTCCCTCCCCCCGGCGCTGTGAGTTGGCTAGTTGCTGCCTTAGATGTTGATTGCACCTGTTCTGCTGGCCGGCTCCAGCAGGGACAGAAAGGGTTAGGAGTGACCAAGGCAGGCCTGGCCCACGAGAGTGGAGACAGAAACGAACAAAGAACAAGTGATCTGATACTGAGGGCTGCAGACAAGTGTGTGGAGGAGCCCAGGTCTGCAGAGGGGCGTCGTCAGAGCTGGTGTGGACAGCGCCAAGGGGAGAGGGGGGCTCTGATAGTGAGGGGGTGATCAGGGTTCCTCCTTCACCCTGAAGGGCTGTTGCCGGGGCTGGAGAAGGGGTAGCGTCACCCCCGAAACCCCACCCCAGGTCTCGGCCCTCCACTTCGCCTGGCTGGTCACTGACGCCCTCTGTCCTTCCCCTCCAGAGGCACCCGACCGCCTTGTCTTTTCGCTGCTCGCTGGCTGACTTCCAGATCGAGAAGAAGATCGGCCGAGGGCAGTTCAGTGAGGTGTACAAGGCCACCTGCTTGCTGGACAGGAAGACAGTGGCTCTGAAGAAGGTGCAGGTGAGCCAACAGCGCCGTGGGGTCAAAAGTACGTGGCAGGAGCTGGCTAGTGTCTGAACATTGTGGCCCTGGGCTAGTCCTGCCTCTCCCCTGCAAAAAAACCCCGGGAAACTGGTACTCTCCTCACTCACAGGGCTGTGGGAGAATCAGGTGGCCTTGTCTTTGCGAAAGCTCCCTGTGAACCATAAAGGAAAACAAGGACGAGCACATGCTGAGTGCCTGCTGTATACTGGGTCATGCTGGAGCTCCCAGAATCTTGACAGCGGCTCTGTGGGTGGGAATTATGATCCCATTTTTTGGAGGAGGAAAACTGCAGGCACGTGAATAATTTACCAGGGCTGGTGGGGGGTGCTAAGTGGGATCCGAGGTTCAGATGTGCAGCTGACTGACCCTCTTTGGTAGCTCTGGGCTGGAGTGCCCTGCCCAGCCTCCGAGTCCCTCCTAATCGGAGGAGTGGGGTCAGGCACATGTATTCTATGCAGCAAAGCCCAAGGAGGAAGCTGCTCGTGAGAGCCTTTGGGCCCCTCTGAATGGCTCTTTTCTGCAGGAAGTGACCTTGAGTCCTCCAGCAGGGCTTCCACAGCCCTTCGACTTGCTCATTTACCTTAAAGAATGAGATTAACTGGCTGGGCAGAGGAGGCCCAGGAGAGGGAAGGGAGTTCAGACACAGTCACAAGGTGGGGAGACAGGCGAAGAAGCTCCGCCTGGAGCCGAACAGCGTGATTCTGTCCTTGTAGATCCGGGTGCTGCACACGTGGCCTGGGATGGCCGGAGGGGGCACGGGCTCCTTGGCTCAGAAAGGGCCCGTGTTCTGCCCTTTGTCTGCCAGGGACGGGCTCACCTGGGTTCTCTGTTGATTTTTAGTGCCGGGATGGGTTCTGTGGTGGGGCGGCTATGTCGCCCTCCGGTTTGTTCCTGTAAGTCAGGAGGTGCTGGGAGGACCTACATGGAGTGAACACAGGGCTTGGGGGGCATCAGGAGGCACATGCTGTACCCTTTCTTCTATCTTGGTCCACATGACTGCCCAGTGAGGTCGGGCTGTTGGCCCCATTTATAGACGTGAAGACTGAGGCTCCAAGGGTGTTTCCTGTCCTACCCCTTACCGATGCATGACCTTAGCAAGTCACAGGACTTCTCTGTACCTCAGTCTCCTCCTCTGTAAGTTGGCCAGCAGTAACCCCTGCCTCATGGGAGCTGCTGAGATGATTCGGTGGAAATCGGTCAGCATAGTGCCTGGCACGTGGTGGGCACCCAGTTATCTGAACCATTGTCCTTACACAGTTTCCTCAGCAAAGAGGCGTGAGAACCCAGGCTGGGGTCCCAGGCCTTGTGCTTCCTCTGGGGCTCTGGGTGCTGGTTTTAACCACTTTTTCTCTGTCTTCTCTCACCCAAGATATTTGAGATGATGGACGCCAAGGCTAGGCAGGACTGCGTCAAGGAGATCGGCCTCCTGAAGGTGAGTGCCCTGGGCCGAGCAGGAGCCCCACGCTTCCTTGGGCCAGGCCAGGCCACGTCGTCACCATCATAGCCCCTCAGCCCTTTAAATTCAGAAATGACATACTTTGGAGCAGGGCAGCGGCTGGTTTGTCCTCTTGTGGCTGAATGGGGACCCCGCCTCACCTCTGCCCAGTCCTCACGGTGCCCCCGGACCGGCTGTACTTGTCCCGTGTGGATCCTAGATGTAGTGGCCGTGGACCAGGCTGTTGGGGAAGGAGCGAGGGTGGGCGTTGGGTCAGACTGCGGTTTGTCTGTCTCTGTCTCCCTGTCGGTCTCATCCCATCTTTGTTCTCAGCCTTGTGCTCTTGTATTTCCACGTGGCAGCACACACATCTGAATATTCAGTCATGGTGTATTCTCTTCTTTTCTCTCTGATTCTCGTGCTCCCTCCAGCAGATGCTCTATGCCAGGGAGACAGAGCCGAGCCAGTCTGGGGCACTGGGCAGAATTAACAGCTAAGCATGAGGCCCCGGGTTCTGGGAGCTGGAGGGGCTCAGTGCCCCTGAGTTGTCAGCCTGTTGGACTCTTGCCAGGCCTCCATCAGGGAGGAGGCAGGATGCACAACTGGGGATGGGTCCCCGCCCCCCAGGGGTAGCTGATGTGCCTGCCCCGTCTGGGCAGAAGTCCTTGGTTCCACCAGAGCTGGACAGGGTCGTGTGAAGGACAGGCAGGGTGAGGGATGGTGGTGGTGGATAGTGTCTATGGTCATCCTTTCCCCCTTCCTGCTGGCTTCCCCTCTGGTCTCCTAAGAGAGATGACAGAACTTTCTGGACTAGACATATATCCCTCCCTGGTCTAGGGGTTGCTCTCCCTGGGGCTCCACCCTCCTCCCCAGGTTCAGGATTCCACCTGAGAATTAGGAGGTGATGGAGGAGAAAAAAAGGGATGAGCTTTGGAGGCCCAGGATCCTGGGTTCAAATGCTGATGTCTTCATTTACAAGATGTGCGACCTTAAGCATATGACTTAACCTCCCTGAGCCTCAGTTTTCCCATCGGCTCAATGGTGAGAATGCTGGCCTCACAGGATATGGGCAGATAGAGAGAATTAAATAAAATAGTATCAGGGGAGTTCCCTGCTGGCCTAGTGGTTAGGATCCCAGGATTTCATTTCCATGGTCTGGATTCAGTCTGGTTGAGGAACAAGATCCTGCAAGCAGTGTGGCATGGCCAAAAAATAAATCAATGAAAATGTTTTAAAAATAAAATAGTGTCTGAAGAGGGCCTGGCACAGGAGAGCACGCAGTCAGCACTGACTTGGTGTCCTCTGTCTCCACATAGAGAGAGAGCTTGGTTGGCAGCTTCCTGTAAAGTGGGGCTACTGGTACAGTCAACCATGGCATTCCCGCCCCCCATCACCCCACTGCCCAGGGATTCCCAGGCAGGAGGGGGAATAGATAGGCTGCAGATGGTGATTGTCGGGTAATGCTCGCAGACCCAAGGACCCCCAGGAGACCGTGCAGGGCCCAGGCCCTCGTCTCAGAATCTGGAAGGCTGAGACGAGCCTGCTGCAGGAGCCCCGACAGCGTGGATGGGAGTGCAGATCATGGTGGACTTGAATGCCACATTCAGGATATGAGACTTGAACGTGGGGACAAGAGAGGGGGCCCCGTAGTGGCTGAGAGCGAGATGCCGTGGCCATATGGGAGTTGTGGATGCGCGCTGGGGTGGCCCGTGGCTGTGATGGGGCTCAAGGGGGAGGCTAGAGGCTTGTAGGGAGGTATCCTTAACTCCAGCCATCACAGGTCCTAAAATACTCTTCAGGTAACATTTTCAAAGTTTTACTAAATGGTCAACTTTGGACCCAGTTGTGATCCCTGAAACTCTGGTTCTCCAGCCCTGGGGAGCGGCTGTCTGGATCACACACCCCTATCTCCCTTCTTGTGGCCAAGAACATACATGTGCTGCTCACATGAGTAAGGGATTGTACACGTGTGCACACCTAGCCAGCCTGTTTGGTTCCTGGGCTCAGAACTGTGTGACTACGCATAGCCTCTTCGGTGAGGCCGCCCCAGGTTGCATGACCCGAACCTGCCTGGAGTGAGGGCTCTGACCCTGCCCCAGGCTGCAGTGCCACTGAGCACGGTCAGCTGTGGGCTTCGCAGACAGACACACCCCTTGCTCACTAGCTTTGGGGACATGGGTAAGCTGCTGACCACTTGGGGTCTTTATGTTCTCATCTGTCTTAGGGTTGATGATGAGAGTGCTGTCTTCAGAGGTATTGTCATGGAACTAGTGAGAAGATGCATTGGAAGGACTCAGTGTAGCATCTGGTCAGAGGCAGCCCTCATTGCCATGCTTATAACCTCTGCCGCCAGGCCAGCCCCTTTGCAGAACGTAACCCACCTCTCCAGCCTGCCCGTGGGAAGTCAACAGGATGTGCCAGGGCGCAGGGTGTTTCCTACAAAACAGAAAGAAGCACGGTCCTCAGAGGGGCCACTGGGCGGCATTGTTCATGCTGTTCATGCCAGGACCAGTGAGAGGCTGCCAGGCGGGGTGGGACAGTGATACACAGCATAGATACACGCCCCTCATGCAGCACCATCCAGGCCTTTGGGAAAATGTGCTTTCAAGTCGCCTCTGGATGGGATCCCCCCTGGACGGGCTGACCATTCTATGGCAGAATATTTGAGTCCCTCTGCCTTCCCTAGATCCTGGAGTCATTTTGATACAGGCTCAGTTATAAGGAATGCCAGGATCTCCTGTCAGCCAAGCAGGGGCTGACTTCCAGGCAGTGGGGCGCAGTCCTGATCACCTGGGCCACGGTGATCAGGCCAGAATCAGGGCTTCATCACTGAGCACCGTGCTCAGGGCAGCTCTCACACCAGGAATGATGTTTTCTCAAGATTTCACAAAGGGTGGATCAGAAACTGAGAAAGTGGGAAGGAAGAAGGAAGGAGGTAGACACTTCTAAGTACTCCAGGATCACTGAGTGCAGAGGTGGAGTGGTGGGGCCCTGGCCCTGCCCTGGAGGGGCCTGGGTGGTGGTGATGATGAAGAGGATGAGGGAGAGGAGGGTCATTTCCACAGTGTCTGTTGAGTCTTAGCTGAGAGCAGTCACCATGTAGACATTTCAGAGGTATCAGCCCGTGTAATCTTCACAGCTTCTCTCCAAAAGATTATGCCCATTTTACAGAGGGGGACACTGAGGCTCAGGGATGCAAAATGGCTTTCCTGGTGTCACCCAGGTCTGCAAGCTATTCCTCCCAGATACTCACCTCTCCAACTGTATCATCTCTCACTGGCTCCATCTCCCTCTTTTTCTCTCTTTGGGCAGCAACTGAACCATCCGAACATCATCAAGTATCTGGACTCCTTCATTGAGGACAATGAACTGAACATTGTGCTGGAGCTGGCGGACGCGGGTGATCTATCACAGATGATCAAGGTGAGGGTTCCTGGCGGGAGAGCTGGGTCTGGGGGACCTGCCCAGATCAGGTGCTCCCCGACCTCAGCTCAGATTCCCCAGTGCTCTGGCCTCAGGCAGAGGCAGTCACTCAAGGACACTCGCCCCCCGTCCACCCTTGCTGATGCCCAGAGGCCTCAGCTACAGTCCCGTCCACACTTGCTGGGAGAGGGTCAGCCACGGGCAGAAAAGACCCATCTGCAGTCCCTCACCACCCCAGCCCACCCACAGGCTCGTGGCCACTTTTGCCTCGCAGAAGGGATGGAGCATAATCCCCTATAGGTCAAACCCCAGGTCTCAGAATCTGGGAAAGTATCTTCTGCCTCATTTTATAGATGGGAAAACTAAGCTCAGAGAGGTTGGAAGAGTTACCTGAGGATCCCCAGCAACATGGGGACAGACCCATGCCTGTGGCCCAGGTCTCTGCTTCCAGTGGCCTTCCGGTGGCATCATCCCCAGGGGACCTTCTGAGCCCCTCAGCCCTTGAGAGACATCTTCCTTTCCATGTAATGGCCAAGGTCAGGGATCTGAGATTTTGAGCAACCTATCAAGTCCCACAGGCAGCCCCCAGACTGCCCGCTCACCCCCCCATCCTTGGGCCCAGGACCAGGTCCACCTGAGCCTGGACACGGGGACCAGCACAGCTCCACCGATGGGGCACCTACTGCAGGCCACAACCGTGCTGAGCATACGCCTCATTGCCTGAGTCCACACTGTCCTTAAATAGCGAGGCCCAAAGAGGTTTTGTCACCTGCCTGTGGTAGCACAGTCTCTTAAGTGGGATTCCTGGGCCAGCGCTCTCAGCTCCCCTCACCCCTCCTCCCTCAACGTCCTCACTCCCGGCGGGCTGAACCCTCATCCACAGACTGTGTCAGTGGGCCTGCATCACTCCTCCCCCGAGCCCAGTCTGTCCCTGAGCTGGGCTGGGCCATGCTCGAGCCCCCGCCTGATCCCAGCCACACTTGCAGACAGTCATAGACGCGCTGTCTCTCCCACCAGGCACTGGGGATTGAGTCATTGCTCGGTGCCTGCTCTTCTGAAATTTGGCTCCTAGGAATACGGACGTCTCTGGGAAGCAGCATTGCTTGAGCTGTTATCACCTGCTTTTATACTTTCGTTGACATATTAATGCGTTTGCAGGGATGTTAATCTCCACACAGATCCCTGGTGGAAACAGATGTGCTATATCACGTCTCACTTCTCCCTCGCTCCCCCCACTCTTTTTCTCCTGCCTGTGTCATTCTCTCACTGAACACCACGCATCCAGACCCGCTCTGTGCCCACCCCCATGCTGCTGGCCTAGACGCAGCCCTCAGGGAGCTCGCCTTCTGATGGGAGAGCAGAGCTGTGAATGAGCAGCCATAAGTGGCCGTGAACAAGCCAAGTTCAGGGTCTGTGGGAGCCAGGGAAGGCTTCCTGGAGGAGGTGACGCGTTAGCAGAGACCTGAGGAGAGACCCGCAGCCTAGAGGCAGAACAGCTTGTGCCAGAGCCCAGAGGGATGGAAGCCCAGGATCCACAAAGCACCTTGTCTGGTCAGGGTGCTGCACCCTGTCAGCCCCCGTGGCCCTCAGACCCCCTCACAGCCTCTCAGCTCATGGAGGGGGCTGGAGTCAGATGGTGGGGAGTTGAGGGTGCTGGGCAAATCATAGATCCCTCCCCTTCCTGAACCTCAGTTTCCACTGCTGTCCTGGGGGCCTCATCAGGGAGGGCTGCGCGGGAGCTGCAGGGCCCGGATGCAACTCCTTCCAGCCAGAAGAGACAGGAGGGAGGCATGGTGGCATCCAGCACTCTTTGTGCCTGGCCTGGGGTGGTGCCCCCCCTCACCCCGGCTTCCCCCGGGCCAACCCTGACCCAGGGTTCAGGTCGGTTACTCACACCCTTGGTTTCTGGGGCAGTGGCCCAGCTTCCAGGTGCTTCAGGCCCTCCTGTCTCAGGAGCCTTCCTCCTCACATGGCCTGGCACCTCCCTGCCTCTGTCACAGGCCCCTCACCCTCCCCTTCCCCTGCTGAGCCTGTGGCCCTGCAGGCAGAGCAGCTCAGACAGGCAGGCAGGGCAGTAGGAAGACCCTGGGCCCAGGTTCAGACACACCTGTGGGATAACCTGGCCAGCTCTCTGTGCCTCAGTTTCCCATCTGTAATGCACCCAGCACAGTGCTCGGGGCCTGGGAGCAGCTGTTTCTCTGGCCTTTCCTGCTCTATAGCTGCCTGCAGCTTTTGGAGAGAACAGGGACCTAGGCAGGGCTCAGCCTGGGGGCCACACTGAGTCCTGGCCTGACAGGGAGGCGGCTGGCCAGCAGACCCTCCGTCCCATAGGCCCCCAGCCTCCGGAGCCAAGCAGTACCACCAGGGCCACGTGCCGGCATTATTGACGATGGATGGTGAAGCCGGGAGCTGCTGCCACCCCAGAACCCACCAGAGACTCTGTGCCTTCCTGCTAAATGTCACCCGCACCGATAGGATGTGACATTTAGAAAATCACCAAGCACAGCTGCTTATGTCCCCGTTTAAATGCTGTAATGAGGATTAGCTAACATCAGGGCACAAATAATACTGCAACGTGGCCCACTACGGAGGCCTGAGGTGGTCCTTGAGTGGGGGGGTCTGTGCCGGGAGCCAGGGGCAGTTGATGTGTGAGGTCCCCTCCCAGAATGGAGCCTTAGAAGAGCCTCATGGGGCTTTAGAGCCAGTCCAGGGGCTTCCCGCTGTGACTGTCCCAAGGTTGGAGGTGCCCACATCCGATCCCAGCTCTGCTGCCCCTGCTGGGTGGCCCTGGGCAAGTTCCCCAACCTCTCTGACCTTGGGCCTTCATCAGGTGGTTACTGGTACCATTAGAAGTGGGTTAAGAGCTTGGGCTTCCCAGGTAGACAGCCTGGGGTTGAGCTGTTGACTCTGCCCCTTACTGCTCCCATGTGGCCCTCAGTTTCCCCATCTGTGAGCTGGGTACAGCCGTCACTGTCGGGCCCAGCACAGAGGCTGCACATGGCAGGTGCTTAGCAGAGGTTAGCTCGGGTCCCACTTCCTACCTCAGGCCACGAGTGTGTCCTGGGTCTTGTGCCAGTGCAGCTGCCCTGACATGTGGGTCAAGCCTTCATCTCTGGCTGCTTCAGGAAAAGAAGATTGCTCTGAAGTGAACAAAAACTAGATTTCAAGTGACAGGTGTGAGTTACACGCCCCCCATCCTGAGCCCCACAGGCCTGGCCCACAGGATCCCCTCCCGGAAGGATGCTGATCTGAACAGTGGTTGAAGGCATGTTCCTGGTTGAGCTCTTGTAGAACCTTTGGTTACTTACAGATCACTCAGTGCAGCCTGGTTAGGTTTGGGGCTTTTTTTTTTTTTTTTTCCTGGAGCATTAAGTTTGATTTTCCAGGCAACAGAGTAGGTTGTGCCTGTTGAAACTGAAAGGTCTATTTGAGAACATCAAGTCCGCTTCCTGGAGGTCCTTGACACACTCGTTCATGGTTATATGTGCTGGCTTCCAGGAAGGGAGCTGGGATTTAACCACCAAGCAGGTCTTAGATGCCCCCATGCTGGGCCAGGCCCAGGGCAGAGAGCCTGCACCAGTCACTCCTGCAAGGAACTAATCCCTGTTGGGCAGTGGGAGGAGATGGACAGGTGTCCAGGAGACTCCGGGTAAAAGGTCATAGAGAGCAACTTTCAAGATGTGGTCCCAGCATCCCTTCAGTGAAGCCGTCAGGACATCCCCTCCGGCCAGGCCGGCCCCGCCTTCAGGGAGCCCCATGCTGCTGCCGGGGGTGGACACGTGACCCCTGGAGCTGGGACCCTACAGCGGCCCTCCCAGGCCTTTCACCCAAGCCTGTCCGTGTGTCTGTCTCCCCCTCTGCAGTACTTCAAGAAGCAGAAGCGGCTCATCCCGGAGAGGACCGTGTGGAAGTACTTCGTGCAGCTCTGCAGCGCCGTGGAGCACATGCACTCGCGCCGGGTCATGCACCGCGGTACGTGCCGGGGGCTGCTTGGGGGCCACGGGGCCCAGGACACAGCCTTCTCCTTGGCTCCTCCCGGCTCCTCGGGACAGCCTGAGGAGGGGCGACTGCCTCGTATCCCCATCCGGTGGGTGGCCAGCATCTCGCCTATCCTTACAGGGTCAGAGAATGGGAGCGGGAGGCCTCAGGCTTGACGGCACCCTGGGCCTCGTGCCCCTGTTAGGGGCCTCCCCAAGGTGAGAGCACCGAGTGCCATGTAGTTACAGGGACCCCAGGAACAGGGGCCGTGCTCAACACATAATCTCCAGCCCCCAAAACCAGCCCTGAGCCAGCAAGAGGGGGCTGCAGCAAGGTTAGGGTGGGTGGGGAGGCTGGCAGGGAGGGGGCCCAGTCATAGCTAGTTCCAGTACTGCCACCAGCTCTGCCTGGGAGGGCAGGGAAATCATCCCGGAAAAGGGAACTTTTCATCTGGGCTTTGAAGTCTTAGTAGGAGTTGGCTAGACAGCGGAGATGAGTGTTTCTGAGAGCTGACATCATCCTAAACTGTGAGGGAAGAGCCCGGTGGGTGCCCGGCAGGGTGCTGTGTGCTTTAGCTAGATGACATCAGTGATTCTTCCATTTGTTCATTTTGTCTGCATTTGTCAGTGTCCGCTGTGTGTGAGGTACTGCCCTGGTGAGTGGGGACCAGTGCAGGTTACCTCCCTGAGCGCCACCTTCGTCTGTCACACAGACCTGCATAGAGTACCCGCTGTGCTAAAAAGAAGAAACAAGAGCACAAAAACCCCTGCACTCCTAGACCTCACAGCAGCCCTGAGCTGGAGTGAAGTTAGACCCATTTTACAGATGAGGAAACTGAGGTCACATTTCTCAAAGTCCCACAGCTGGGCAGAGACAGGGCCAGGGCCTTGGCCTGAGAGAGCAGGACTGGGGACTAAACCCCCATCACCAGAAGGGCCCCACTCTGCCCACACCCAGGCCTCCTCCTCCCTTCTTTCCCCCCGCCACCAGCCAGCTTCACCTCAGACCCCACACCAACCCCCCTGTCCTTCCCCTGCAGACATCAAGCCTGCCAACGTGTTCATCACAGCCACGGGCATCGTGAAGCTGGGCGATCTCGGCCTGGGCCGCTTCTTCAGCTCAGAGACCACTGCGGCCCACTCCCTAGGTAAGGATGGGCTATTCACACCCGAGCGACCCCCAAGGTCCTGGATGACATGGGGAGATGCGAACCCTGTCCCCAGGGTGCTTTTGGTTAGACCCTCAGACGTTCTTCTTCAGAACAATGACCAGAGGGCAGTAAACCAAGGGCTGGAGGAGCCCAGAATGGGACCACCTGCATTCTCACAAGGTCATGTTTTAGGGGTAGGGAGGTGTGGCTCTGTGCTGTTTTTCTCATTGCTGCATGGTGTCCCATTGTGTGTGGGTGAGTGAGTGTGTGTGTGTATGTGGTGGTTTTGAAGTTCTCATCCCCATCTGACCCCAGAGCACCCCTGGCCTGGCCTCCCTAGCAGCTGGTGCACCGTGGCTCTTCTGTTAGGTCAGAACAAAAGGATGTTCAAGGACCCGCCAACACGTGAGATCGTGACACTTCATTCATTCATCTACATTCAGCCCGTTCCTCCTGCTGAGGATGTTTGGGCTGTTTACAGCTTTTGGCTTTTAAACTGGCAGTTTCAAAGCTGCAGGGGCCCAGTGCTCACATGGTGGAGGTGACTTTGTAGCTGAAGTGTGGGGAGTGACTAGGAGCCGGTGAGGTATGGAGGAAAGGATGGCATGGGGAGGGTGGAGGGCCCGTGGGTGGCAAGGAAGGCAGGTGGGGCCTTGAAGGCTGAGCTCAGTGGGAACACCATCCCAGGAGTGCGGGGGCGCTGAGGGCTGGATGCCAGAGGAGACTTGGAGGTCAGATGTGTGTTTCGGGTCATGTTAAGCACTGTCCAGCTTCAGAATCCAGATAAGTGAGTGAGTGAGTAAAGTCACTCAGTTGTGTCTGACTCTTGTGATCCTGTGGACTGTAGCCTACCAGTCTCCTCTGTCCATGGGATTTTCCAGGCAAGAGTGGGCTGGAGTGGGTTGCCATTTCCTTCTCCAGATATGTGAGCAAATGTGAAACTTGGACTGCTGGAGAATTTTACATTTGATTAGAAACCAGCGAAGTCCCCAGTGTGTGTGTAACACAGAAGTAGGGTCCCCTGGGTGCTGTGACCAGGGCTGTGTGGAAATGTTTCAGGCCAGGGCGGGGTGCAGGGGCATTTCCCTGACCCCCAGCAGTCCCTGGCTCTCTGTGGTGGCGTCTGCAGGGGATCGTGCCTGAGACTCACCTCCCACATTGGGTGCCGCATCCACAGGAGGGAGCTGGTCCTGTGCACAGGCCGAGCCCCTTGAACACCACTCTGTTGTCTGCTCGTATCCTCCGCCCTCTGTGGCCCAGCCAGTGCATCTCTGGTCTTTCTGTGCGCTACACCCCTGAGAGCCTGCGGCGTGCCAAGAGACACACAGCGGCCTTCTGGAAGACACGCTTTCCTGGTGGAAACTGTCACTGTTCATACAGGTCCTGATGGCTCGAGGCTCTCAGGGTATAGCACACAGTCCGGAGAAACAGGCTAACTCAGAGATCAACAGCTCCCAGCTGGGAACTGGAGAGACTGTGTGTGTGACTGTGGAAGTGCTTGTGTGTGTGTGGTTGTTTTGAAACCGTCGTCCCCGCCTGACCTCAGAGGACCCCTGGCCCAGCCTCCTTAGCAGCTGGCGTGCACCATGGCTCTTCCCTTAGGTCAGAACGAAAGGATGTTTAAGGACCCGCCAACCCTTGAGTTGGCGATGCTTCGTTCATGCCTCAAGCAGATGTCAGGGTCCGTAGGCTCCTTCCTCTGTGCTGATGAGGAATCTGAGACCCAGGGAGCTTGAGGGACTCCTCCGAGTTGTGTGGTGGCAGAGCCGGGCCCCGATGCAGCCCTCCTGGTGCAGTGCCTGGTTTTTCCAGGAGCCCAGGGTCGGGGACCCCAGAAGGATCTGCCTCCGGAGCTCGGCCACCGACTCCCCATACCTGGGAGGAAGCTGTCTCTTTCCCACTCCCCCATATCCTTCTCTTTGGGAAAATCATTGTGTCTAGTCAGCTTGGGACTGTTTACCTTTCTGGTGCAAGGCCTTCAGAAAGGCCAGAAATTCAAGGGAAACCGTCAAAGAGCAGAGTTAAAGCCACTGCCTCCTGTCCCCTGTCAGTCAGGTCCCAACCCTCCTCCGTCCCGCCGGGGAAAAGACTGCGGCACAAGTCAGAGCCAGTTAAGATCACATCATTAGGAGCGGGCAGAAATGCGGGCTCGTCCGACAGTGTGAGTTTATTGACTTGGACTGGTGCACTTATTATATTAATGAGAAGAAATTGGAACTTGGGAAAAGGCTGCCCGGGTAAGCCAGGCTCTTCCCACAGCCTCTGAGCGGCTGTTGGGCCTCGTGGTGGGTGGAAGGAGCCCTCCTGGGGCCGCGTGCCCACCAAGCTGAGAGGCCGGCACGGGCTCAGCAAGGCCCTGCGGCCAAAACCAAGGGCCAGGCCCCACGAAGGGGACAGTGCCAAGCCAGAGCCCAGGTCTGAAGTCTCGGAGACCAGGAGAAAGACCCCCCTTCCATAGCGAGCTTCCGCAAACAGCTGTCTCGCACACACATTCAACGGGACAGAAGACTGCACTAATTGCAGTTGCCTCGTGACTCAGGAAGGACTTGGGGGGCAGAGCCTCCCTCATACCCCATGCATGGGTATGAATTATGCATCTGTTGCCTCTCTGTGCACCTACTATGTGGGGGATGTTCCAAGGCAGCCACGTTGCCCCAGCAACCACCTTGTCTCCAGAAGCTGCTGACCCAGGGTAGGGCTTATGCAAATCCCATCTCCTCCAGCCGCCTCCTCCCCTAGCCCCCTCCCCGCCTCCATATTTGCTAACACGAGACTGGCATGAAAGGGCATTAGTCATGCCATGGCCGGGCTGACAGGTGCGGTACCCAGCGGTGGCAGAGCGGCTGCCTCGGTGTCAGGAATAGGAGCCATAATTAGAGCGCGGAACAGAATGAGCGTCAGACGAATTACCAGGCAGCAGATCATATTTGTCAGGAAGGATTGCATACATAAAAATTAAGTGACAGTACACGCCGGCATAATGAAAGAAAAATGAAAGATTTGCCTACACACAGCTCACAAGCTACAAGCAAGTGTCTCGCTCCGAGCAACGGCAGCAGCTGCAAGACAAATTGTGGGGCTGGGAGAGCAGGCCCTGCCCACTCTGCCGCGAGACCTGGTGGCCTCGGGCTGGAATCAGAGTGGGAGCTGAGGCAGGCTCAAATCCAGGCCAGTGCCGCACCCTACCCCACCTTTCAGGGGGCTGGAGAAGACAGGTCTGGTTTGGGGGCGACCCTTGTCAGGTACCCACAGTCAGGGCATGCCATTTTCCAGGTCGCCGACCCCTGGCCTGGCTGCGGGGCATACAAATCCTTCCTTCTCCTTTCCCCAGGCCAAGTGTCCTGGTCCTGGGCTGGGCAGGAGACGTGAGGTTATGGGAACATGAGGTGATACAGCCTTCCCTGCTCTGGGGGTTCCCAGACATACCCAGGGTGACACTGTGGGGGGGGGGCAGGCAGAATGGTATGCGGCAGGCCCACTGTGTGCAGGCATAGTGCTGGGCTCTCTGATTCAGCTGCGCCTGAGGAGCAAGGGTCCACTGGGGACCTGGAGCTGCCTTGGCCCTCCCAGTGACTTTATTTCCATTTCCTGAAGTCACTAAACTGACCAAGGAGGTGTGTTAACAAAGCAGACAAGGTTTAAAGGATGTTTGAAAAACATGTTGCTTCTTAAAAATGTGGACCAGTGAGGCTTAAAATCTTCTTTTGACACATGAGGAAACGGGGGCACAGAGCGATGCTGCCATATCCCTGTGGTCCTGGGCAAGCAGGGGCTGGAGGCCTTTCAGGGCTGGAAAATGTGTTTAGCATCTTCACCACCAGCCAAAGCATCATCTTGTCCCAGGTGGTACCTTGCTTAGTGCTCCAGGCGCCCAGCGGGTGGGAATCCTCAGAACTTGTTAGTAGGGAAGGAAGCCCAGGTGCAGTGAGGCAAGCACCTTCGCGTTGCTGGGTGGTGCTCCAACCAGAGCCACGTGGCGGGGTGGGGGGTGGGGGGGCGTGACCACATGTCAGGCGTGGCGTGGCCACGTGGCAAGAGGGGCGTGGCCATGTGGCAGGCGGGGGCGTGGCCACAGGAGAGTTTCCGTCCAAGGCTTCCTGTTCCATCTTGGGATGAGCCCCTGATACCTGGGAAGGCGGGGTGCCGCATAGCCTGGCCGAGTCGTGCTCCCTGACTCTTAGATCTGTTAGCAGTCCTCCATGGGGGAACTACTAGTAGGCAGATATTTGTAGGGATGTAAACAATCTGGAATCAAGTCGACGCTGATAGAAGTACAATGTTTCGTCAACATGGCTGCTTCTCGGGAGGGCTGAGTGTGGCCTGGCCTCAGGTCGGCTGGTAACTTAGGAGGACTTGGTGACAAACAGTGGCACATGGACAGGGTGTTCGTGTGTTGCGGTCCCGGTGTTGGGCAGAGCGGGGAGAGTCTGAAGAGGCCCCGGGAGCTGAGGACCTGACTTTTCTCTCTTGGGGGATGAGAAGCCGTCGGCCCGAGGCAGAGACATGGCGCCTGCCCTGGGGTGCAGGGCAGGGTGGGGGCTTGGGGTAAGAATGGGCAGGACAGTGGGGCACGGGAGAGGAGTGCAGCACGGAGGAGTCTGGTCCTCACCGGCTCCTCTGCCGTCTTGGGCACCCCCAGCCCTCCTTTCCTCGGACCACCCCCGTCCATTGCCCAGCCCCCGGGGTCTGTGGGGAGCAGAGCCTTCCCAGAGCTGTTGCTTCCTCCTGTCCGTGTGCCAGGACACCGACTGACCCCATGTTTCTGAGACGGAGACAGGGTTCCAGAGTGTGGCAGGGAAGACCCCACGGACCATTTAGTTCACCCCGTGTTCCACTGGAGGCAGAGAGAGAGGGTCCGGTTCTCTGCTCGCCAGTGGCTGCAGCGGGTCCAGGCCTGGCTGGGGTACCGCTCTGGGCATGCGTGTCAGCGCCCCCACCCCCTTTCCCAGCCGTTTTCAAAACCACCATCCGGGGAAGAAGTGCAGCCCACAGATGCCAGCCTCCCCTTCATGTGAAATCTTTGCCTTTTTCATATCTAATGAACATGTTTCAACTACCGTGAGCATTTCAAAACACGGCAAAGTTTGTTTTGACAGGAGTGGCGCATCTCGGGAAGCGGGGCCCTTTAATCAGCCTCCGCTTTGAGGTCCCGCGTTCTCCTCTGATATCTGCCGGGTTTGAAATCTGGGAGTTCTAGGTGAAGACACAGGGAAGGTCAGGGTTTGTTGGGCTCCTCTTTCATATGCAGAGCTCCGTCACCGGAGGGGAGGGTGGGGGCAGGGCTGGGGGCTGCAGGGCTGATGGGGAGATTGCTGGCAGGGGATTTGAGGCCCTGGCTGTGCGCTTTCTGCATCTGAGCGTCTCTGCGAAGGCTGTGTCGCTGCTCTGCCGCTGGAAGTGCCTACGGAGGTCCCTGCCTGGCTTTTAGGGCCCCTGTCTGCGGAGGCTCCTCCCCCTGCCAGCTTCTCCCTCTCGCCCCCAGAACTCTTGGGGGTCAGGGTCACTTCTTCCAGGGCCTGCTGCAAGCTTGGAACTTCTTTGAAGTCTCTCATTTTATCTTTAATAAAACTCAATGCAAGTTGTGTGTTATCTTTCATAATGTCCGAGCACTTACTGTCGGTATGAAGGTAGAGTTTTACAGACTTCATTCCCTGGAAAAGCTGGCACAACTGGAAGAGGTGCTGTGTTCACCACCTGCAGCTTTGTAGTTTGAGGAGCCCTCCAATGAGGCAGAGCACCCCAACTTTAAGATGCAGAGTCCCCTCCCCTGGATCAGGGGACAGGCCACACTTCCCTCGGTTAGCACTTGGTGGATTCATGGCTCCACAGCGTTTCTGAGCAGCTGAAAGGAGGGCAGGTGTGGGAGGCTGCAGAGCTCCTCTCAGTTGTATGATACTCTCCAGGAGCTTGTGGGAGATGCAGGGGTCCAAGTTCCAGGCCTGGAGCTTCTGGCCCCACAGGCCTGGAGTTGAGCCAGGGGTCCAGATTTTTAGCAACCTCTTTCAGGTGATCTGGTTACAGCCATCAGTCAGTCGACCCTTTCCTTGTTCAGCTGCCTCCTGGACACTTGCTGGGACAGGCAACTCACTACCTACTGATAGACCCACACCTGGGAGGGTCGAGCAGAGCGTCAGGGCTCAGTTAACATTGGATGCTGAAGGATGGATGGATGGACAGACGGAGGGATGATGCATGAATGGAAAGACAAATGGATGGAGTGTGTAGCCCTGGCATTTTAGAAGAAAGTACAAATCTCATTAGGACATATTTGCCTTTTCCCCCTTATACCTGGTGGAAATGAGTAAAAGCTGCAGGAGCAATAAAGAGGTAGAAGGTTGAGAGGAGAGTGGAAGGTGATGCCCCCAGCTTTCTCTCCCCGGTGCCTCCAGGCTTTCACCTCAAGCAGGGCCGAGGCAGGCATCTGGAACCTCAGCAGAGGGACAGGGAGATAAAGGAAAGGCCCCGACTCCACTGAGCAGCTGACCCTCCCTGGCCAGGGGAGGGGGCACTTTAAATGACCTTGAAAAGCCCACCAGGAAGCAGAGGCACAGACTGAACTGGAGGGCAGGCTGGGGTGGCCAGCAGGGGAACTCGAGCAAGGGGACCAGCTACTCACTTCACTTTCAGATGGGCCTGGCAAGGCAGCCCCACCCAGACCAAAGCCTGATCCCTCAGCAGGTCTTCTCTCCCCCGAGTCCCTTCTGTGGGGGCCCAGGAGGATCGAGAATAAGCGAAGGGGAAGACAGGGTGGTAAGAGGTGTCAGGGCCAGCCAGCACTTCTGGCTAGGGGGTGGGAGGGGGGTGGTTGGCCAGGGGTCTTGGTGCAGTGCAGCCAGACAGTGGACCTGCTGTCCCTCACTGAGGACAGGGCCTGTGACCGCCGCCATCTCTGTGTGCACCCCATCAGCCCTGTGTGGTGGTTTTGTGCGGGAGATGGTCCTCACCTGGTAAGTATGTCCACCCACAGCACCCTGAGTGCTGCATCGCTTGCCATTTGGTCTGAGGTTCCCACTGTTACGTGAGAACTGTTTGGATTTCATCCTGTGGTTTGGATATGACAGGTCATCCATTTCACACTTCCCTGTTCATTTTCATTTTGCTCCCTTGTGACCAAAATATACAAGGGGTTGCTACTAGAAGTGCAGTTTGCTTATAGAATCCCACATGGGTTCATTTGCTAACTGATAGCTCTTTCTGCTGAGTAGCAATTAGCCCCCTGATTTCAGCCATGAAGTATGCATATAGGATGACACGGTTCTTAAAACTATTTAAGTGATAGCTGCTGTCCTGGTTTAAAGATTATTGCCATCAAACAGTGCTTTGTAACCGAGTAAAGCAATAATCAGCTAGTCCCTCTTGGACAGACATGAGTTAAGTAAATAGTGCATTAGACTGTGAGAAAAACAAGTGTTTATCTGATATATACTGTCTGATACCATGCAGATGGGTTCATTGACTTGGTGACTAGATGTTTAGAGGGCTCCCGCTGTGACCTGGTCCTGGGGAGGGCACTGAGACACTTTGGTAACAAGATCCCGCTCCTAAAACAGAATTCATCAATCATCTGCTTATTTTATATAATTTGGTTATTACATTATAATAAAATTATGGTAAACTTAAAAAAAAAAAGATCCCACTCCTAGGTGCTCAGGCCAGGAGCAGGAGTTTCCAACACTGTTCATGGCCTCCACAAGATGGGCATGACAGAATTTCTCACCCATCTCCAAAGAGAGGAGAAAAGCAAGAAGATGCTAAGTTTCAAACAGATAAAGTTTTTCAATGTAAGGTACTGTCCTTGACCTTGAGTTTTCTTCTTGTTTTAGTGTTAAACTGAGAAGTAGTGACATGAAGTGGTAGTTGAGATTTTGTGTTTAAACACCTTTACTTGGCAAAAATAAGTTGCCTTGAAACGCCTTTGGCCCATAGCAGCCTGAAGTCTGGGCCCCTGCCTTGGGGCAGCCATCACTTTCCTAGTCTAGGTCATCAACAAGCCTCTTCTCCCCCCAGGATCCCCTGTGTTCCCACATGTGGTACTGGACACCCCTCCTTCCTAGGGTCATCAGTCCACATCTCAGTCTCAGCCTCTGCCACATGGGACTGTGGCTGCCTTCATAGACTCTGTCCAGAACAGCCCCGGCCACCATCACATTCACATGGCCAGTGTAAATGTCCTCTGTGTAACAGTCTTTAAAGTCTGACCTCCTGAACAGCTGTCCTTCAAGTGGACTGATATAAGAATTTCAGATTATAAATCTGTGGTTACAAATCCAGGTTCCCACACCTCTGCTCAGCCCTGCCAAATCAGCCCCTCTGCTGCCACTTGCATGCCTCTGGTGATGGGGAGCTCACTACCCACCAGGAAATCCGTCCATGGTTGCCCAGCTCCAGTCTTTAGGTGTGCCTCCTCTGCTTTTTAACTGAGACAGGATATGCATACAGGAAAGCTCTCTCAAGCCCTTTCCTGATCATTATCCCCATAAAGTAATTTTTCCTGTTTTGGATAAAAATGAAATCAGATAGTGGTATTTTTGTTCCTGGCTTCTTTCCCTCAACAATGCATCTGTGAAAATGATCCCTTTTGTGGCATGTACCTGAGATTTGCTCTTGTTCATTGCTGTTTAGTGCTCCCTTGTGTGAATAGACCACATTATCAATCTATCCTTTCTACTGGTGATTACCACTTGTTTCCAGTTTGGGGCTATTACAAAGAAAGCCATTCTGCAAATTCTTGATCATGTCTCTTGATGGACAGAGTACTCTTCTCTCAGGCATATACCTAGGAGCAGACTTGCTGGATTTTAATGTCGGCAGTGTGCAACTGTAGGACAGTAGACACTGCCAAATGGTTTCCCAGGGTGGTTGTGTCATTTTATGGCCCTGTCAGCAATGCATGAGCGTTCCAGTTGCTCTGCACACCACCACCTTAGTTATCTCAGTCTTTTAGCTTAAACCATTCAGGTGGGTAGGTGGTAGGTAGTACCTCACTGTACTTTTAATTTGCATTGCCGTACTCAGTAATGAGAAATATATCTTCTTTGCACATGCTTGTTGGTGACTTGGATAGCCTCCTCTGGAAATGACCCTTCAAATATTTTGCTAATTTGAGGGAGGGTGGATGTTTGTCTTTTATGTGTTGATTTATAGAAGTTTAAAAATATATTCTGTCTATGAGATCATTGTTGGGACAATTTTCTTCCTGTCTGTGGCTTGCCTTTTAACTCTCAGTGGTCTTTCATGAACTGAAGTTCCTAATTTTAATGAAATCCAGTTAATCAGTCTTTTCTTTTATGGTTAGTATCTTTTCTGTTCTGGTTAAGAAATCTCAGGCAGGACATGTTGATTGGTGCTAGTAGCCAAGGGTCGTGGCTAAGAGTTCAGTTTCTGGAGCCTGAAGATCTGGGTTTGAACCTCAGTCCTGCCATTTTTCTGAGCCTCAGTTTCTCCATCTATAAAATGGGCTCACATGCCATGGTTGGTCAGCAGTCACTGTGGTGGTTTTCACTGCTGAGAACCTTATCTGAACTCTTCTGGGATTTAAGCAGTCACTTTTAGAGGATACTTGTTCAGTTGCTTCCCAGAGCCTGGCCTCTGTGTCCCCCTACCCTGGGTAATTAGAAGGAACACCAGTCCTCCGCCACCGAACCCCAGAATGGATTCTCAGGTCTGGGTGGGTCCCTGTTTCCAGGAACTTTTAGGGCCCTACGAGCATGGGACCTTTCATTCTGACCCAGCCCTCTCACTTGTCAGAGGAAGGGGCAGGAAGAGAGGGCAAGGGGGCTGCCCAGGATCCCAGTGAGGCTGAGGTCAGGCCTCTCCCCTCCCCATGCCCTCCCTCCTCACCCCTGCTCAGAGCATGAGCACCTACCTGTCCCTTTGCTGTGTTTCAGTGGGAACGCCATACTACATGTCACCGGAGAGGATCCATGAGAACGGCTACAACTTCAAGTCTGATATCTGGTCTCTGGGCTGTTTGCTGTATGAGGTGAGCATATGGCCCGTGGCTCAGCGGCATTTGGAGGGGTAAGCGTGGTGGGCACCCAGTTGGGGCAGGGCTCACCTCACCAGCTCGCTGGAAATCTGGGATGCACGTCTGCCTGTGGCATTGGTACCATGTGGGTCTGGTCCTTCACCAATCCGCTCTGCCCAACATCAGCCTGATGAGCACTGTTGGACAGGAAGGGGTTAGAGGGATGGCCAGTGGCAGGCTGGGTGCCATCTCGCCCCTGGGCTGCTCAGATCTGGGAAGGGAGACAGACTGGAACCAGACAGAGTGTCCAGTGTCTGCTTGTTGATGGAAGGAGCACAGGCAGGAGGATCTGGTTGCCCCGGTTTCCCTGGTAACCAGGGTAATTCTGTTCAGTGTCTTTACCCGTAGGCTGGACCCCACACAGGGCCCCTGTCAGTGTGGGCCCATGCCTCTGAAATGTTCCCCACCAAGGGGTGGCCATGATCTTCTAGGTTCAGACTGTGGGTCACACTGGAGACCACCACCCTGTCTCCTGAGCTGTGAGATGGAGCCACCAGATGGCCATTTCCAGATCTGGTGGCCAACCTGGATGGAGGGACAGGAATGTTTCTGAGTCGTCTTAGGCTCAGGCATGAGACAGCATGAACTTTTGCAGCTGCTGGGGGAGGCGGGGTACTCTAGTATCTCCAAGTTGGCAGCCACACCCTCCTGCTGCTGTGGCCCACCCTCTGCTGGGCAGGTCTCCTGTCTGTAAAATGGCAATAGTAGCATCCTGCATTGTCACAGGCCAGGTAAATGAAATAACATTTCATTTTATTTCAGGCTTTGAAGGGCTGTGAAGACCCTCCAGGGCTGAGAGACACCAAACATGCTTTGGGTTTAGAGTTGGAACCTTGATTATTTTTCTTCTTTCCTTGGGGTGGATTTGAGCATCCCTGAAATCTGGCTTAGAACTGATAAGCTGAAGTGTCTCCCAGGGCAGCGACGTGTTGGGGTAGTGTCAAGGGGCCACCAGGAGTGTTTTGGCATTGCGGAGACTTCTTTGTTTCCTCGGGAGTGCTGGCCCTGGGAATTGACCTCGTGGCCCGTGGGTATAGACTTCAGGAGTCAGTGGCCCACTGCTGAAGCACCAGGATGGGGGTGCTATGCCATTGGAGTCTCCTGGCGCTGAGATACCTGCTCGCTGCATTACAGATTAAGGCTATGAGATCCAAATGCTGATCCCTTTACAAGGTTTAAACTTCACAGCGTCTTTCTTTTTAAGCCAGTGGCCTGCTGTTAATAGCTGACATTTCATTTTAAAGAGCGGCCTTGTGGTTGAAGATGAGGCCAAGTGGAAATGTGGCCCTGGTGGCGTTTGTGCCTGAGTCCCCTTCTCCTGGAGGTGTGCCGTGTGGGTGTCCCACTGAGTCCTCCTGACGGTCTGCGGGTGAGCCAGGCCCTGGCAATCAGAAGTGGGGAGCAGACCATGTTTCCTGGGCCTCAAAGGGGCATCTGTTGTAGGTGGAATTTTTTATAAGCACCAAACAGGAGTAGCCCATCGACGTGGTGCCCCCCGGGAACTGCAATGTATCAGGGTGTCGGGGCTTTTGGCCCTGCCCCAGGGATGAAGAGGGCTGAGTTGGACTGCTTCCCACGTGGGGAGCTGTGGTGGTGATTGGGTGAGAGAGACACGGGCCCCGACCTCAGTCTTCGCCCATGAGGGCCCAGGAGCTGCAGGTGCCCACATGTAACAGGCTCACACCTGGCTCATGAGGTGTGGACGGCACCTGGCTTGGAAGGCCCTGGGTGGTCGGGGGACAGGTCAAGGAAGTGCTCTCACTGCCCCCCTTGCTGCCTCTGAGCCCCTGAGCCAGTGCACGTGAGCAGCTGGCCACATTTCCCTTTGCAGTTTGGCCAGCGGGGAGCCAGAGTCCAGTTGTCACGCATCCCCACGGAGATGTGCCTCTGTCCTCCTGCCCTCATGGATACTCACCTAGTCCAGGTGGTTCTTTACTTCTCTGTGCTGCGTTCGGGATTTCTGTAAGCCCCTTCCTGCCTCTGAACCACGCGAGTCTCCAGATGTAAACAAACAGGCACGCAGGTGGCCGGGATATAACGGCCCTGCTTCTGTCCTCAGGGCTCCTGAGCTGGTGCCGAGCCATCTGCACCGGTGCCCGCTCCCTAGAGGCAGACGCTGTCCTCGAGGCCCTGCCTTGGGTGCGTGAACACACGTGTAAAGAGGCAGCATCTGTAGTGCCTCCCCAGCCTGGCGGGGCTGGTTTATTTTAGTATTGATTTGCTGGCACTGTGTGGGGCTATGTGACTCGCAGCCAGGCATGGGAAGTCAATGAAATCAGACGAGTCCTGCGTGCGAGGGGACAGCTGACCTAAACCCAACGGCCCCGGGTCTCCGACAAAGGAGGACTGGTGTGGTTGACGTGGTGGCCCCCCTGAGGGCAGAGGGCAGTGGGGGATCTTCCCCAGGCTGCCACCCCCAAGCCCTGTGGGAAAACAGAACTGGATGTTTTCCCAGCAGATGGGGAGGGAGACGCACCTGAGCCCAGGGCTGTGGTAGTTGGAAGGAACAGCTCCCCCAGACACGGCTGGAGCCCCCAATGCACAGCCTGTGGGGCGCCCCGAGGGCGCCAGCCTGTAGAGCTGCAACAGGTTCCCCCACCCCCATTGTCCCCCCCTCCCCCACACCCGCAGATCACTTCCAAGGCTTCTGAGCGGACCCAGTGGAGCACCCCTGGGCCAGGGCGGCAGGCGGCAGCACAGAGCCAGAGGAAACCTGCGCGCGATGGAGACAGGCTTGCCCTTCCCTCCGAGCCCCAGTGTGGACTGGGAGTATCAGGAGTCCCTGTGACAGATTATTGGTTGGCCTGATAACAACATAAAATTATTGTCCTCCCCTTTGGAAGCTAGAAGTCCACAATCTATTTCCCTGGATGCAAGGCAGGAAAAGGAAAAGGCCACCTGCATTCCTTGGCTTGTGACCTCTTCATCGTATCACTTAAGTCAACGGACCTCTCTCTGCTCCTTATAAAGATACTGTGTTTACGTGTAGTAGGGCCGACCTGGATCACGTAGGACACTCCCTCTATCTGGGATCCTTAATTTCATAACATCTGCCAAGTTTATTTTGCCATACAGGCAACACATTTGCCAACTCCAGGGATTAGGATGTGAACATCTTTGGGGACCTTTATTCAGCCCACCACCGTCACCTTCCACCTGGGCATCCAGATGTCCACTGAAAACCTCCTGAGGTCACCTTAAGATGCTGATGTCGCCCCATGGCTAGTGAGGAACCCGCCACAAAACAGTACAGCTGGCCTGCACCCCTCTGGTGGGTGCCAAGTGGGATCTGTCCTGAAGAGGTCAGCATGGGACACAGGCCAAACAGCTCAGCAGTTGGGAGCCACACTGCCCTGGACACTGGAGTGGATCCCAAGAATGACACCAGGCCAGTCCCAGCTTTGCTGTAAGGGAGGAAGCGGGCTGAAGGGAGGGGAGAGACCTTCCAGGGTCACACAGCAAGGAAGTGGCCTACATGGGCAGTGGTACCCGGGCATAGATACCCGCCCTTCTGTGAACAGGAGCTAGGGAGGTGGTCCTTGTGGAGCCAGGGCCTCATGCCTTTTCCCCAGCCAGCAGGGGAGGTAGAGAAAGTGGAGAAAGAGATGCAGGGCCTCGGCTCAGAGCCCCTTTCTGGGGGAAGGACTGGCTGTGAGGCGCCCCCAGCAACTGCAGTGGCCCCTCCAGGAGCTCCCAGCAGGGATGCCTGAGCTTGGCCTGTTGGAAGGCCTGGTGCTTTGTTTTCATTACCTGGCACGCCCGTGGAGGCGCTCAGCAGGCTGCCTGGGCTCTGCAGAATTTACTTATTTACATGGGAGCTCAGCTCTGAGCGAGGAGCTGAAGGAATCAGGGTCCTCAGTGGGGGGCCTTCTCACAGCAGCCTCGAGGCTGAGACCAGCAGGAAAGTGGGCCGGAGGGGGAGCAGGGAAAGACCAGGGTGGAGCTATGCCTTGTGTGGAATCTGCTTTATTCTGGCTTGACCCAGAGAAGGGTTTGGGGAAGCAGGGCTGCAGACTGCTTGGCAGCTAGCCCCTGGGGTCAGCCTTCATTCCCAGACGAGCTTGGGAGAAACTGGTGATGAGATGGATGTCTGAGGCCCTGACAGGGCCGGAGTCAAAGGCAGTTGCTGTCCCCTCTGAGTCAGAGACCACTTCTCCTTCTGACATCTCAAATCACACACCAGTTTCCCTGAGCCCTACCGGCGGGGGCAAGCGCCCATACTTGCCCATCTCTCTGGCTATGTGTCATCCCAATGATGCCAGGGAGGAAAAGTTCTGCATCTGAGGAGCAGCGCTGAGAGCCGAGGCATTGGCAGTTCTAACGAGGCAACCAGTGTCAGCCCCAGCCAGCCAATCCTCCTCTGCTTCGACCAGTCAGAGGTGGGTGGTCGTCGGTACGAGATCTCGACATCCGGCCTAATCGTTCTAATCCCAGTGTCTCCAGCAACCCCAGAGGTTCCTTCACAGTGCGATGCTCTGATCCGGGTGGAAGGCCCGTGGCCAGCAGCTAGAGGGGGAGCGGCCTGGGGAGGGGGGCAGGGGGACGCCACTTCCACTAGAATCTGCATGTGTGGATGTAGAAGTGTCTGTGAGCCAGGGAGGCTGAGAGGGCTCCTCTGGCAGAGCGCACTGCTGACCCTGTTCAGAAAGTGTTTCTCTAACTGGGGAAGGCGCTTGGAAGGGATGGAAAGGTTATCTGCAGGGGACGGCATGTATGGGACTCAGGCGTCACCATTCTGGGGCCCTTCTGTGCAAATCAGATCAGGCTGGCTGGTTGAAAGGATCACCCAGTCCCTCTCCCAGGTCAGACACATGAAAAACCAGAGCCCGTGTTAGTGGGGCCAGCATTTAAATGTCCTTTCTACTTTGGACAGAAACACTTTCCAGGAAAATCCGTCTTAATCCACCTGCCTTGACTTGAAGGGCACCAGATCACTCTGAGTGACCGCCCTGGAGGCTCAGCTGCCCTCTGCCGTGGCAACAGATGTCCCTTTGAAACTGCCCAATTAACCCTTTGCACCTGAGGTTCTCATTTTAATTACTGGAAATACATCACCCAGGCGACGCCATTTTGCACGCTGGTTGGTAAAGCCAGTTCCCGGTTTCTGCACACCCCTCCTGCTCTGCCAAGTGCACGGCCACTCCCTGCAGCCTTCCCATGGTGGGTTTCATAGTCCAGGTGGTCCGCAGCCCTCAGAGGCCCAAGCCCCTGGTCAGGTGGAAGAGAGCAGTAAGGCTCAGCACCCCTCTGAAATCACTCAGCGCAGGCCCTGGGCCCACAGGTGCTGCTCTGGGGAGACTCCTGATCTGGGTCAGAGGAAACCCCAGGTCTCCAGGCCACACTGCCTCTCCAAAGGCCATTTGGAAGCCCAGTGACGCTGTGTGGGGTCTGAAAACTGCCGTGCCCCCTGAAGGAGGCAGGCTGTCCTCTCAGGGTCAGCTGACGTATTCACAGGGCTGAACAGAACACGGGGGCAGGCCAGGAAACTAAAGCTGATGGGCCACCTACCACGTTCTGCCCTGAGATGGGGTTCACTGGCCCACCCCCCGGGGCCCGACGGGGAGCAAGGATTCCTCAGGTGTCCCGGAGGCCCTGGCTGAGGTGCGTGTACAGAGCGGCCCTGGCACCAGCTCCTTGAGGGGAACCAGGGCTGAATGGCCAGGCGGGCACAGGTAGCTGATGGCGCTTGAGTAGCAAGAGGAGTTGGGCCGTCAACTGGAGGCAGGAGTGACAGGCGGCACTTTCATCTCATTACAGCTTCATCAGCAGATGGGGCCAGTGGGGGCCTCACTGGGCCGCCTAACACGGCCACTCCTCGGTTCCTGTGTCCCCTTTGAAGACACCCCCAAGGGTGCTGAGTGGTGGGGTGAGAAGCTTGGCTAGTTCCCTGATGGGGCAAGAACCCGCCAGGGCCTCCACAGGCCCCAGGAGAGGGCCTGCTTCCAGAGTGGAACCAGAGGATGACAGCTCGGGTCAGGACCCTCCTCCTGTGCTGGCCAAGGCTCACCGCAGCCTTGCATGGGGAGCTGTGTCCATCTCAGATGAGGAGACCGGGGACCAGGCCCGCAGCAAGTGAGTGCGGAGCTGGGTGGGATTCAGGAAGCTTCTGTGAAGCCCAGGGTCCCAGGCCCCGCCTTCATGGGCAGCCAAACAGGTGTCTGGGCGTGCAGCCTCCAGGCGGCAGTGGCCACCGCCCTGAACCCTGGGCTTCCACGGCAGCTCGGTGACGGGCTGGAGCATGGCCAGAATGAAAGTCAAAAATGCCTCCCCATCCCCTCCACCCAACACTTCAAACGTTGGTCCTTAGGTAAGTAGTTTCCTAAACTTATTTCTCAGGTAGACATCCTCCCATGAGTGTGAGAATTGCTCTTTAGAAATATAAGACCACGCGACAAGAGGAACCCGCCAGTCCCAAGCAAAGCTCCTCCTGAGCAGGGCCAGTCTCCCCGTGCCCTGTGTACTTAGGACCAAAATCAGAGCTGTGGGCAGGCAGGCACCTGCACATGGCTGGCCCTCAGGATGCAGATGCGCCTTCTTTGTTGCCCTTAGTTTTGTCACTGAAACCTTTGTCCCATTTAACTTGCTTGTGTAACAAGGATCATGTTAAAACTGCCTCTTGCTGTTGTACCCCAGCTTCCTCAGGATGTGGGGGAGCCTTGCTGGACGGCCGCTGCAGCGAGGACCCGGAAGCACCACCCCCCACAGGAGCAGCCCCTTCTCCCCTGGACCTCAGGGCTAAAAACTCCTCTTTCACCCCTCTCCTTGCAGATGGCAGCTCTTCAGAGCCCCTTCTATGGAGACAAAATGAATCTCTTCTCCCTCTGCCAGAAGATCGAGCAGTGTGACTACCCGCCTCTCCCCGGGGAACATTACTCTGAGAAGGTGGGTCTGCTGCCGCCAGGGTTAGGCCTGGTGAGCTCCAGTGAGGCTCCAGGAGGGGCTGAGCCTGGGTTCACTTAACAGGGTGCAGAAGGAAGCGACTTCTCCACTTCCTGGAGTGAGGGACTCAGGGTGGGGGGCAGATTAAGAGGCAGGTCTCGGGGACCTGGTGTGGCCCCCAACAGCAGGGCTGCAGCCCACCCACCGGATAGGAACTGGCGGGAGCTGCCCCGTTGGCCCGCTTCTGACCCTTTGGCTCCCAGCCCGGGGCTAGAGTGAGGCTCTCTGCTCTGGGACCCCGAGACGGGTGCAGACACAAGGGGTGGCAGGGCCTCACTGGCCCCACGCTACCATTGGCAGGCACTTCACTCCCGTGACGGGAAACCACAGCAAGTAGACCGGTCTCCTTGCCGTCACAGACCTGCGTCGGACCCTTTGGTGATCTTATTTTCAACATTCTACACTGAGGGCAGGGGCTCTGGATACAGACTCTGACAAGTCTGGCAGTCAGGCTGTGATGGATAAGGCTGTGAGAGAGCGTCTTCTGCCTCAGGTTCCTCTTCTTAAAAGCAGGGCTGATGTTTTGCCTTCATGGATAAAAGGTGAGGAGGAGAGGACAGATTTACAGCCCAGAGTGATTGAGAGTGTAACATGCTCACCTCACTATTCTTGGGCGAGTCACTGAACTAAGTCTGTTTCCTCATCTGTAAAATAGGGGTAATCCTGGAATCTCCCTCAGAGGATTGAGGTAATGCAGGGGGACGTGCTCAGTCCAGCACCAGGCTAATGTTTACCACCATCATCAGCCAGAGGAGCCACTGGCTATAGCAAAGCCTGGCTCAAAGGAAACGCTCCACGGGCTGTGTTCAGGGTCAGCACTAGGGGGTGTGACAGGGAGTCTGATCTCCCTGGGCCCAACCTGCAGGCCATCGCCTCACAATAACAACAGCTCACATTTATGACTGTTGAATCCCCCTGCCCCTAATGCCATTTTACCAGGAAGGTTAAATGACTCAGAGGGGTTAAGGAACTTGCTTGTGATGAATGCAGGGTTTGACCCAGATGACCCTGCACCTAGCTGCCGTGCCAGCCTGTTTTCTGAGGGTGTAGCCCTCTTCCATAGCCAGTCATCCAGCCAAGGTGAGGCAGCATCTGGGCTGCTCACTTCACCATTGTGAAGGTTCTGGAAGGAGCAGTCCTTGCCCATCAGGCTATAGCGACCAGGTGTCCCAGTGTGTGCTAACCCTGCATCCAGGCCGGCTGACCAAAAGGGGCCTCGGCCACCCTTCTCCGGCAGCCTTTGTTCCCATGCCTGCTGGCTCTGTGGACTTCCTGCGGCAGCCAGAGTGACGGCGGGACTGCACATCCCTAGAGCTGCTCACTGCACTGTCTCTTGTGGCTGTTGCTTCACTGGCTTGCAGAGTTCTCCTGTGTACCTTTGGAGGAAGTACTTACAGTCTGGGGTGGAAGTTGGTAGGAAAGGAGAAACTAGTTGAGTTGTTCACCAACTTAATAGTTGCATTGGTTTTTCTTCCCCTCGTTTTGTTTGGATTTTTAAATGTATTTATCCATAGGTATTTTGGCTGTGCTGGGTCTTGGTTACTGCAAGGGCATTTCTCTACTTGTGGTGAGCGGGGCTTCTCATTGCGATGGCTTCTCGTTGCAGAGCGTGGGCTCTAGGGCACGCAGGACATGTAGGCTCAGCAGTTGCGGCCCTAGAGCACAGGATCAGTACTTGTGGTGCAGGGGCTTAATTGCTCTGCAGTATGTGGGATCTTCCTAGATTAGGGATCAAACCTGCATCTCCCTGTGTTGCCAGGCGATTCTTTCCCCCTGAGCCACCAGGAAAGCCCTGAATTTGGAATTTTGTTGGACATTGTTAAGAAGGTTGGAGTCACACCACCTGGAGCAAATGACAACTTTTCTGGGCCTCAGTTTGTCGATGGGAACTGTCAACTCTGCCTCATGGTTATGAAGCTGGAATGAAGGAATTCTCATAAAGCCTTTGGCCCTCTTCCCTCCCGTCAGTCCTTCCACCGTCCAGAGCGCCTCCACCCCAGAGCACCTGGCTTTCACCAGCTGTGTGCAGCTCCCAGAAGTGTTAATTCTTAGCACTGGAGCTCTTCTGCACACCTCATTTTTGAAGTTATATCTCCTTTTAGGAATAAGACCCTGTTTCTCTTTTGAAATTTTCAGGCAGGCACTTCTTGCCAACTGTGTGGTCTACTCACAGACTACCTTAATGTGGTTTTCTTGGGCACTTTCACACATCAGAGGCCAGCCACAGCCCCCAAACACTGTAAGGTTATGGAGTTTGGTCTTGCAGGCTCGGCTGCATCTGGCCAGGAGCTTCCCAGTTTATAAAGCAGTGAAATCCCCAGTAAGGCAGCACACAGGCTGGAGCCTCTCCCAGGGGAGGAACCCCAGATCCCTCAGCCTGGAACAGCTCAGGAGTGAAGCAGGAAGTGTGCAGCACCACCACATGACCCCTGTGCCCACCACCAGACCCGCTGGGCCTGGCCTGGAGTCCGTGTGAGCCCTTAGTCAGGATCTCCCTTCTCCCTGCTGCGTCTGGCCAGCCCTTCCAGCAGCAGGTATTTAAATGAAAAAGAAAAAACTGCAGTGAGCCCAGTGATGCAAGTTAAGATGTAGGCTTTCTAAGGTCATTACTTTAATTACCATTAAAATAATTGGCACTCTGGCTATCAGAAGAATGGAGGTGATCAGAGGCTCAAGGTACCCCTCCCCCACCCAGAGACAGGAGCAGCCTTCAGTGTCTGTATAATTAAAAGCTTCGTCTTTCATGAGCACAATAAAGAGGCCAGGGGGTGGGCAGACTGCAGCTCTGCTGCATGTTAATGCATTTATTATGATCAATAAGCCCTTGCCTTGAGTTTTGTCCTCTGCTTTGGGCATCTGCATGACTGACAGGAGAGACACACACACACACAGTGCACAGATTTACCCAGTAGTGGAGACAGCGTAAGTTCAAAATTCTTTGGAGGCAGCACTCTCAGGGTCTCCAAGACCTGGTCCTTGGGACCGGACAAGCCAAACACTGGCCCTGCTCGCCCACCACTCACCCCATCTTGAGTGTCTTTGCTCATCATGTAGGTACCGAGAGGGTTAATGAGTTAATGCAGAACCTCAACAAGGATGCTTAGGAGTAATATGCATCATCTGTCTTTTGCAGTTACGAGAACTGGTCAGCATGTGTATCCACCCTGACCCCAACCAGAGACCCGACATCAGCTATGTGCACCAGATTGCCAAACAGATGCACGTGTGGACTTCGAGCACCTGAGCGTGGATGCAGCGTGCCTTCTCAGAAGCCACACCTTACCTGCCTTACCTGAGTCTTCTCCAAAGTGGCCACCTGGTAGCTGGGACCAACTAAGACTAGAGAGTTCAGCAGGTTCCCCAAAGAGGGGCCCGGGGTTCATAGCAGATGCTGAATACAGGGCTGCTGGGGGGAGGGGCACTGGTCATGTGTTACTGGTGGTCACATTCGAAACTCCTTTCTTTAAACTGTTGTGAACACTCTCAGCTGGGTCGCAAGGGGTGGATGATTCAGTGAGCCACTGACACACCCCTTATATCTGGACTGTAATGTGAATCTTTCGGATAATTCCTTCAGTGACCTATTAAGGTTTCTAGTAACAGGAAAATACAGGAGACTCTCTGATTTGTAGTGAGCCTTTTTAAATGGATAGTGGCAAGTTTAGCTCTTAGAATCTTTTCAAACAATCAAGCTGTGTGCTTAATTTACTCTGTTGTAAGGGAAGAAAGTGGAAATACTTTTTTTTTTAAGTAGAGTGGAGATTTTCCTAATATTTTTCTCTATGTTTATAACTTGATAAATGACGATGAGGTGAACCCAGCATCTGACATCGAGGCAAACAGTATTTGAAAGCCATGAGTGTTCTCTGTGCAGTCGGCTCAGGCCGCTTCTGAACACCTGCCAGCACCAGGCCCTTGTCACTGGCTTGAAAGCTGGCAGTTCACTGAATGACCAGTGTCAAGTGTTTTCGTCCCTGAGGAGGAGGCATAGGAAATAAAAACATACAGGCTTTGCGCTGGTTCTGCACCTTCCTGGCATGACCCTGGGCAGGCTTCTTAACCTGAGACTGTTGCCTCATCTATCAAATGGACTTAATAACATCTATCTTCAGGGTTGCTGACAGAATTTGAGATAAAATATGTAAGTTATCTAGCTCATGGCAGATGATCCAAAAATGGTAGCTACTCACCCCTTCACAAAGCTGAAATCCAGAGACCATGCAAGTCAAGAGTTAATGTACAACTGTATTATTTGTAGGAAACCAGAAGTGTGTTCACTTATTTCTTGCTCCCCAATAGGATTAACTGTGAAGATTAATTTATAAATGTGAACTTAAGGAAAACTGAAGCTCTGAAGGAAGTGGTTTGAATTTTGTTTTTACACTCAAGTTAATCCTCAAATGGTCTACATTGTCGCCCACTGACTTGGTGACAGTTCAGCCCTCAGACAGAGAGCACATACGTCCGCTCCACTGGTGTCCTGGTCAGGCCTCCCTGGGGACAAAGGATTTGGGTCGGGCCAGTGTGCCGATTTCTCGTGTGAACTCTTCTACTGTAATACTGTCGCGTTTGAGAGATTTTCTTCAGATGCAGCCTCTGCTTTGTACTCATCCTCCATGGTTGAAATAAAATGGGTAAGAGGGGTTCCTTCTGTGAACGAGTATGATTCATGAGTTCTTTTAAAACAGCTTCACACTGCAGCACAATCTCTAAAGCTGCTTTTAAAAACACAATTTCTCAGGCCCCAGACACTGAGTAATCTGGGAATTTTTTTAAGCTCCCCAGATAATTTTGATAAATCGTCAGCCAAGTTGCTATCCTAAATAATTGCATTATTCTCCCCACCCCACTCCTGGCAGTTCAACCAGGACGGCTTGCCCAAGAGTGGGTTCACTCTGGGAGACCATGGCACCGGGCCTCTTTCTCGTGTCCCCCAGATGAGCATGCCCTAGGGGACAGACTCTTCTGTCTGTCTGGCACTTAGCACTGGAAGTTTTTCTGATTCCAGGCAGACTTTTTGCAAATATTCTCCTTATGGCTCTCAGAATCCCTACACTGTGTCTGTCTCCTTTGGCAGTATCAGCTTTGGACACAGATGAACTTGCTTTCTGCATGCCATCAACTTTCGACCCCTTGAGAACAATTCTGCTTAGTATGAGGACCCTCTGGAGGTACACAATTTCAACCATTCAGCAGGCCTGAGTACTGGAGAAACAGTCATTTCCTAATTATTACGGATAGTAAGTCCCAAGCATTCTTGGGACGTCTGTGAAACTGGGCAAAGCAGAACTCACCCCGGGTCACGCAGCTAGAGCACAGCAGCACTGTCCACCTCCCCACTTGTTCTTGGGACTGAGAACTGATCAGTGGTTCTTTCCTACTTGGCTGTTAGGGTACAAGGCTGTGCTGCACTCATCCTAAATAGCAAAGAAAAAAGAAGAAACCTGGGACTACCCTGAACAAAGAGAAAAGTAAGTTAGCAAAGGGGTGGGAAACCCCAGCTCCAACTTCAGCCACTTAATTTTGTTTTCATTTTTTATTGGGTTCATTCAGCAAACACTGGCTGAATGTCTTACAGCGGGGAGCCTCCATTGTCCCTAGTCTGCCAGAGCAGTAGCCAGCCATCCACCGACACCATTCAGGACGTGTCCATTGTTTGGACTGTTTCTTCCAGCACCTCAATTTCCAGGGTCGTGACTTTTTCAGTGAGGACAGCAGTGGTCCCTTTCTCACACCTGTACCGGCCAAACCTAGTGAGACAAAGACAAAAGCAGAGAGTTAGGATCCCCCAGGGGCCTGATAGAGGGCTGGAGACAGGGACAAGTACTTAGGCGGCAAGCCGGCCTAGACTGGAGTCCTGGCTCTCCTAACCCCCAGTTCTTCAAAGTTGGGGGGATTCAGCCCCCACAAGGGTCACTTTCTTCAGCTCTCAAGTGCTACAAAATGGGGCTACAGGAAGACAGGATGCACGTGGAAACAGGTAAGATCGAGCACCTGGCACTGAGTGGACACTCGGATTTCCTTCCCAACCTCCCCATCCCCAGGAGACACATTTGTTTCTCTGCCTTCAAGCTTCAACCTCCCTAAAGCATTAATACCCTTTGGTAACCAGCAGGAAGCCAGTTCTTTCATTAAGATGCTACTGCCCCGGATGACATAAACGTAACCTTCAGTTCAGTTCAGTCACTCAGTCGTGTCCGACTCTTTGCAACCCCATGAATCGCAGCACACCAGGCCTCCCTGTCCATCACCAACTCCCAGAGTTTACTCAAACTCATGTCCATTGAGTTGGTGATGCCATCCAGCCATCTCATCCTCTGCCATCCCCTTTTCCTGCCCCCAATCCCTCCCACATCAGGGTCTTTTCCAATGAATCAGCTCTTCGCATGAGGTGGCCAAAGTATTGGAGTTTCAGCTTCAGTGTCAGTCCTTCCAATGAACACCCGGGACTGATCTCCTTTAGGATGGACTGGCTGGATCTCCTTGCAGTCCAAGGGACTCTCAAGAGTCTTCTCCAACACCACAGTTCAAAAGCATCAATTCTTTGGTGCTCAGCTTTCTTTCTAGTCCAACTCTCACATCCACACATGACCACTGGAAAAACCATAGCCTTGACTATACAGACCTTTGTTGGCAATGTAATGTCTCTGCTTTTTAATATGCTATCTAGGTTGGTCATAACTTTCCTTCCAAGGAGTAAGCTTAAACATGGTAAAAATATCTGGAAGCATTAACAGTACAAAAATGACCTGCAGCCAGACTCTGGGCTTCTCACTGTTGACCACACTCAAGACTCAGGAAGGGAGAGTTAACTGTCCCTAAAGGGACACAGTATATCACCACTAAGACGCACCCAACATCGCTTTTCTTAGGTGAATCTGAAAGGTTTCTCTGAGCATGGCAGCCTATAAGATAAAATCTGAATTGCTAATTTCACAGTGGGGCCAGGAAGACAACACTGTCAAAGCAGCACCAGTCCAACTGTTCCTCTCGTCTGTCCGCAGCTGAGACACTTTCTGTCCACCTGACGTGGACTAAGGAGGCTGTTGGCTGTGCCATGACCATGTGGCTCCTTGAAAAGCCATCCTCTCACGTGGGAGCTTGTGCTCAAAGAAGGCAGGAGACAGAAGAAGGTGACATAACAGAGCTCTGTACAAAACCAGGAGTTTGCGCAGGCAACAGCAATGGGGCCTTCAGTTCTGTGAAACCTTCCCACAGTCCCCACCATGCTCTTAAAGGACCCGCGCAGCAGCACCTCCTCCAGGTGTTCCCTGCCCCCAGTACTGGTGTGGAGATGCTGCTCCTTCCCCGACCTGGATGGACCCTTGGCGGCTTGTGGCTTTGGAGCCAGAGCCCCATGTGACTCCTCTGAACCACAAAGTCTGTGGGAGGAGTGGAGAGCCTCCCCCCCCACCCTGGGTTACAGCACCTGGTTTCAGCAGCACGAAGGGAGCACTTCTACCTGAAGCAACAGTGGGCTGCAATATGCACTGCAGAGAAGCCAATGCGAACGTGCAAGGCCAAATCCAACACAGCCCAGGCCTGAAAGGTTGCTTACCTTCCCATGCGGGGCCCAAGGGATCCCACGGGCTCAGTAGAGATCACCTTGTCCAGCCCCAAAGTGATCCAAGACAGGTGCCCAGAGTCCCCACCCCAAGCCAGAGCTCTTCTCTGCTGTGCTGTCCTACCGTCTCAAACACCCCGCGGGTCCACGATGCTGAACACACACTGCACTGAATACCTGCTACTTCTCAATGTTCTTTCCTTTCCTCATGAATTACCTGACCTGGAGTTGAGTACATGTGGTGGGAATGGAAGCAGCACTGAGGAAGGAGGTGTGCTTGCTCTCCTCTGGCCAAACATGGGGCTGAGTTTCTAACTGCTCCTTCGTACATTCAGATGAAGGCCGCTGGAGCAGAGGTCAGGAGCCACGTTTTGAGTGGCTCAGGCTCCAGGAAGAGGTCAGGCAGTTGGACAGCTGCTGAGCGGCTCACCTGCCACCAGGGCTGGCCACTTTCCAGTTACATAATCAAATCAATGTGCACCTCACCCCCCTCACCCCCCTCGCCCATTCTGAGCTGGGCCGCAGCGCCGGCTCAGCACACACCACAGGCTAAGGAAGTAGCATGGCTCCCTCCACAATAGGAAGAAGCACCAGTTAGCTCCCAAAGGCTAACTTCTGGAGACCTTTTAACCAATGGCTGATAACCATTTCAGACTCTTGGACCACTCTGAGAAAAAGCTATGGGCTGGCTGCCCTGGAAAATGTACCTTCTCACTGAACTTCATACAGAATTCAGAGGCATCTTTAAGAAACCAGAGGAAGGCCGGCACATGCTGAATTCAAACCTCTCCCCATAATCCGCAGTCTAGGAATCTGTCCACTCAATATCTCCCATCAACATTTTACAGATTACATCACTTTCCTATACTTGACAGCAGCTCACAGTCACAAATACTGATTCAAAGGTCTGTTGAGCAAAGCTGGCCTGGGTACACTGGCTTAACAGGGGTATGAATCAAAGAAAGCCCTGTTCAGATGCCATGAATATAACAAGGGTGGCCACAGGGAGAAGGCTTCACTTACCTGGTCCCCTTCTTATTGGGCACTGAGTACGGACGGAGAAAATCCAGCTTGCTCTTGCTGATGACACACAGATCAATGTTACTTCCAGACCCCAGGTCATTGAAGATCCCAGCTGCTATGGCTTCACTCACCAGCTTCTTAGCTTCCTCCTCCTAAGAAAGAAAATAGCAACAATAGTGTTCCCAGTTGAATGGAGGGCCTGCTCTGATGTCCAGAGTGCTGTCACAAGCAGTAAGAGAAAAGGGGAGGGGAAAAGGCCAGCCTGTGAGGTAGGCATTATTTTTAGTGCCCATTTTATTAATGAAGGAAAGGTCTCAAAAGTACCTCAATGATCTGCCCAAGGTTCTTCAGCTGGTAAGCAAGAGAACCAGGCCTTTCAAACCCTTTATGCACACACGCCCTCTTCAAACTTTCACGTCAGACACACCACATAACAGGACTGTGGGCTGACAGCAGTTTTTTTAATCTAAAACAGGGGTTGGTAAACTTTTCTAACAAAGGGCCAGGTAGTAAATATTCTGGGTTTGTGGATATAGTCTCCATCATAACTACTCAGTCACGGTAGCACAAAACAGCCACAGAATATGTAAACAAGTGGATGTGGCTGTGCGCCAATACACCTTCATCAAACAAAAACGGGTGCTGGGCCACATTTGGCCCATGTGCTGTAGTTTGCAGAGCCTTGATCAAAAATGTCAAAAATGGTTGGAATCTGCTTCCTGGTAATGTAATAGAGAGTCAACATCATGGTGAAAAAATGAACACCAAAACACAATTCTGGGGAAATGCTAGCAGAGTCAAGGCCGAGACCTCCTGCACTAGAGAAGCTTTCCCCTCCCACTAATAAGTCTTCATGTTCACTGAAGTGATTCCTTTCTGGGAGTCACTCTCTTGCTTTTCCTTTAAGAGCAAGTCTTAAGTCTCCAACAATTACTGGTTAAAAAAAAAAAAAGATTAATTTATTTCTTATTCAAGAAGCACCAGATTCAAAGTAACTACAACACAGAATATTAAGGCTAACAGCTAACTGAGAAGGAGCTGTGAGAACACTGGCTGGGTCAGCAAAACTTCGAGGAGGACCTGCACACCAGGCTCTCAGAAAAGAGAAGGCAGGTGCCACAGGCAGCAGGGCAGGACCTGGGGAACACCAAGTTCAATCTCTTTACACAAGGACAAAAAAAATGCACCAATCTTGCAAAGAAGAGACTTTAGCTTGAGCTTCAGCCCCCTTCCCCATACATGAGGGCATGGAGTCCATAAACTGGCAAGCTGAAAAAAAGAGCTCATCCAAGCAACATCCTTGGAGAAACTCAGATGCCTGGCCCAAATTCCAGCCTGAGATCAAAGAGAGCAAGTTCACTGTCTAAGTCCTGAGAAGAGGGCTCCTGCGCCTCAACCTGCCCAAAGCCGGTAAGTAGGATTCCAGTGACATGAGCGCCCTCTACAGACTCAGAGAAGGCCCTGCTGGAAGTGGGATCCTCAGCAACCCAGTAGCAGGGGCTGGGGTATTCTGATCTTTATCCCACCAGGTTTTCCCACTTCCTGAGTGGCACCTATGTGGGCTCAGTAAAATAAGTTATTCTCTTGTGCATATTCAGCCCCACAGAATTCATTCAAACAGGATCCTCTCATCAGAAGTTCTCTCCTGGGATTCCCAAGTCTATGGAGGTCAAAAGCCTTACCAGAAATCAGTGAAGGTGGGAGCAAAGAAAGCATTTTAGAGGGGGAGGTGGCCGCTGCTACCACAGAAACAGCAAAAACCAACCACTAACTTAACAAATGCAAAACCATTCCAACTTGTTTGGGGGGGCGGGTGCCTGGCGGGGGGTGGGGGGGTGGGGTCTGTATATCAAAGCACCTTGCTTATACCTCTGCTCCTGACCTACCACCTCCTCTCCTCTCCTCTGCTGTTTCATTTCACTGCTGTTCTCATCACTGATGCTGGTGCCCTGAGCCAGCCAACAGTACCCAGTGGTTGTCACAAACACTGCTGGCAGCACTCAGGCCTGCAGATTTAAATTTCCCAAATTATTTAATACTTGAGGATGGGGATGGAGAAGACTTACAGAACCTGAAATATACACAATATGAGGCATGCACATCTAGCACCAATCCATCACAATCCGCTGATGCCAAGGTGCCAACAGTGCTGAGATTACAGTTGAGACTTCCTCTAGTTTACAAATATTCTTTAATGTGAGTAGATCAACTTACAAAACTTTAAAATGTGCAAAATATATTACATACAGCCTGAGTTACTCATAAAATTACTCATAAAATGCTTTTAAAAATTGGGGAAATAAACCTTTTAAATTCCTCCCACTACCACCCCTTCAAATTCTAGGGAAGACAATTCATTATAAAAGGAAATATCACAAGTCTCTGATTTTGTTTTTTTCCTTTCTGTAGTCCTACCCACCTCTCATATACACAGGACTGAAAATGTTAAAGCACCTACTATAGCGTGTCAAGTACTGAGGTGGACTTTGATGATCATCATCATTTCTATCCCTGCCCTTAACTATCTTCTGAGGTTAGTATTGTCAGAAACTAAGGCAGAGAGAGTCAATGACCTGCCCAAGGTCACACATAATTAAAACAGGACCGTGGGCTCCAGGGCCAGAAGGCCACACCACCACACCAGCTCATAGGTAACCTGTCTCAGCTGTGAGCTGGGGGCTCCTGAGCAAGTTGGGAACAGACAGCAGCCCCTTGATTCAGGGGGTCATTCCTCATCAGCAAAGATCTTCAGAAGCTAAGCAAGCATAAGAGAAACAAGAAAAGTAAAAGTTGCTCAGCTGTGTCCGACTCTTTGCGACCCCATGGACTATACAATCCATGGAATTCTCTAGGCCAGAATACTGGAGTGGGTAGCTTTTCCCTTCTCCAGGGGATCTTCCCAAGCCAGGAATCGAACCAGGGTCTCCTGCATTGCAGGCAGATTCTTTACCAGCTGAGCTACCAAGGAAGCCCAAGAAAAAATGGTGGTTGCCCATTTCTCGTTGAGCCAACTCGCAGACCCTCTGATGGTCACTTCCATGGCCCACACACCACCACCTAAACATTTCTACAAGGTGATATGGCAGAGATGAACATTAAGAGCCAAAGTCTTATTTCACATATTTCTCACCTCCACCAAAAACCCTCAAAAGACAAATAGGATGAAAATTACCAAGGCTCTTCGGTCTGCCCATTACTTACATAGTTAATGCCTTCAACAAATATTTGCAGACACCTACTATGTTCCAGGAACTGTATCTTATGACAAATATGGTCCTTTACCATGGTATCTCCATACGCAGAATTCTAGACACATATGCAAGTATGCTACTGGGCATATTCATACTGTGTTTTCTTTATAGTGGAATATCACTATTAAACAAGTCTTGTCTTTAACATGTACTACCAAATATTTAGGAAAAACTATTGAGAAAAACCACAGAATAAAAGCAAGGGGTAGGGAAAACACATTTTTATCTGTCTCTGGGTCACAGTAAGTGCAGAAGCATTGTTTCTTCCCTTAGGATTCATTCTTCATAGGGAAACCACCTCACTTTTCTGGAAGAGGCGAAGGGACCAGAGTTCTAGGCAGCATTCACCTGGGGACAGCTGCTACACACAGGCTGTGACCCCAGCTGGTAAGGCCCAGTGTGAGATGCTCTCCCACTGCCGGGCCAGCAGCCTCCCCTGCCCAGCTGCTTGTGGATTTACGTTGCTAGTCACAAGGGAACTTGGATTCAATGTGGACTCATCCAGGCTACCTCCCCGCCTCACCGCCTCACCACCCCCCCGCCCAAAAAAAAGGCTCTGCAGGCCAATGGCAGCTTCCTTTTACTTTGAGCTGCTCAGCCAAAAGATCACCATTATGATCCCAGTGCTCAAAAGTTAGTTGAGCAACCCAGGTTCAAGGTCAGGTATCTGGCAGGGTTGGAGGCAGACATAATGCATTTCATTCTCCAGCCTCCAACTTACTTATTGCTATGCACCCTTGAGCAAGTTATTTCACCTCTCTGAGTTCACTCTCCTCCTCTGTAATATAGTGATGATAACTTAAGATTTATCACACAACTACTGAAAGAATCATGGGTGTGGCACATGGCTACTGCTTAAAGACTGGTAGCTTATTTAATCCAGCAAGCCAGAGGGCTCCAAGGGGCATAATTTATCTCTAAGGGGTGACTGCCTGTACCAAACCCCAGGCCAGGAGGAGGTCCAAACAAACCTGCTGACAAACCTTCACATAGTGCAGTGGAGAAGTTCCTATAATAATTAATCCAAGCAGAGAGCACACTCCCTAAAAGTTCAGAGAATATAAAAGGAGCACTTCCTGCTTTACGGCTACAAAGACCAAACTAACTGGGAATATCAGTCCCCCGGGCCACCCCTGCTTCTTAAATGAGATTACAATAAGAGTGATGTACTGTACTACAAGTCAGCTGTGACAAGCAGCACTTTATAGAGCTATCTGTTTGTCTCCATCACTGCATCGCACAATGTGTCCCTGGACTCCAATGTGCAGCTCCATTTACCGCTACATGACAAATGGGCAGCACTTGTAAAAGGCACAAAGAGGTCCGCATCGGCCATGTAATGGTCACCACAGCTGCACCCGAGTGCTTGAGGGGACAAAACAGACCCCCAAGTTCATTAAACTGACCAGTAATGGGTCTTTCAAAAAGTGCCTTAGGAATCGTACAGAAAAGGCTAAAATAAATAACTCAGCATGGAAGGCTAATCTGAAATGGTGTTTGATAAATTATTTATAACACAGGCGATTGTCTGCATTTAATATTGGAGCTACTAGTAGCATCTTTAAAAGATGATTTATGGGTTGTAATGCTATTAAACTTTATATTGGCCCACTGCTAGCTATAAAGTCTGCTGAGATTTAGAGAATGAGTTTTAAACTGTCACTGCAACATCAGAGGAGATGGAGACTGTATTAAATCTTTACTTTAAACCTGTTATCTGGAGAGTTGCATTTTGTAGACACTCACAAACTGATAGATTACCTCGGCATCTGCAGTGGTACAGGTCCAAAATAGTACTGCAAAGAAACTTTTCCACATTATTCTTGTCTACAGCAACAGTCAGATCTCTCTTCTCACTTAAGTGATTTTTAGATTAGAATGTCACCAGAGTAGGGGATCTA